AGCATATAGTAAGTAATAAGTTGTTTCAACATCTCGCATAAAAGAGTCTAAAATCAAAGAAATATAGATTTTCAAACTAGGTACCTTTAAAAACTGTTTTTCTTTTAATTGTGGTTTTTTGACATTCTTTGTTTTTCCCGTGTGGTCTTCAATATAGTCATGGATTGGAACGCCCGAATTCTGAAACATCACTGAAGTCAAAATCTGCACTCAACTTTACACTCTTTCAGGATTCACTGAAGAGCTTCGAAAGAGGTTTGACTAAATCAATATCGAACATCTCTCTTTTCGAAGTGGGATTATCTTATACTGGAAATGCTTGTATCTTCCAGAAGTAAAAAATAATGAGACGTCGTGTCATCGTCGTTTAAAATATTTCGTGCCCGTATTTTAAATATGAATTGAAGAGATACTGATTTTATTGTAAGTAAAGTCACATGAAGTTTCGTTCGGACTAATTAATTACTTAAACTACGCCCACAAATATAGATTTCCGGAAAAATATAGACCACTTTAGGTTAAAATTAATTGCAACGCAGCAACAAAGGTATACCTACCTACTTAATGTGGAACTTCTGTGTTTGTTATCTTTGTTAACCCATAGAAAACATTTCTAGAACAATGTAAACCAGGGATTATTACGTATTCCAAGATTTCCACATCAGCGGACAAAAAATCGCAAAACAAACCCAGACTTCATACATAATATGATTCGATTTGAATATTATAATCTTACAATACCTACCTAATGTTGATTTACGTGGGCACAGGTCGTGGAAATTTCCTACATGATCTCTTTCTTGGCGATAAAAAATTTAAAGCAGTATTCATCGGTTAATGCAGTTTCGAACTGATTATACATACGGCGTGCCCGACGCGTGCGATACGAGGCTCGTTCGAACTGGTGGATGTTATCGAATGGCGGAAAAAATAAATATAAATAAATAAATATAAATACCTAACCTTGGACATTTTACACTACGCTTCTAGTCCCAAACTAAGCCAAGCTTGTACTATGGGCACTAGACAACGGATATAAACATACTTAAATACTTTTTTTTTGTAAATACATACATATTATACATAGTAACACCCAGACCCTTAACAGATATTAAAATTCATCATTTCAATTTCTGCCCGGCCGGGAATCGAACTCGGGACCTCTCGGCATAGTAGTCCGTTCTGAACCACTACACCAAACGGCCGACAAATAACCACCTCTACTTCTTCCATACTTACATATATATTGTATCAGAATACTGCATTTTCATCCACAATATTATGATTGTTAGTAGCAAATCAAAGTCCGGCATGTGGAATTGTAAGATTTAATAACCAGTTACACAGCATGAAAAGAAAAGTATGGTGAAAATCTTGTATCAAGGAAAGGAAAAAAATAAAGTTCTTTCTAATATCTATTTGATGTAATGTAATGTATTATGTAGGTAGGTGCATGTATAGATTCTAGTAATATTAAAATAAAATAAAATTAAAATAAAGATCTACCTACACAGCTACAATAGGCTAATGGCTCAGGCTATTGGCTCAGGCAATATGAACTAATGCTGAGCATTAATAATTATAGCTTATTAGTTCATTCACTAGAGAGTTAGCTATTCGTGGAGGGTCACTAATATTAATCAATAATAAATTAAAATGTAAAGAGCGTAAAGATATTGTATCTCTCTCTGTTGAGCGAACTATTGAGCTGTCATGTGCAGAACTGGACGACTATGTTATTGTATGTGTATATAGACCCCCATCTAGTAGGAACTATGAATTATTTGAAACCACAATGGAAGAGGTACTTAGAAGAGTGTGTAATAGTTCAAAGAAAGTAGTTGTATGTGGAGACTTTAATATTAATATAATAGAAGATTCCTCTCTTTCAATACGTAGGAAAAAATGTTTGAATTATATGGTAGAAAAGCCTATAGTAGCGACCCGGACTTTAAAGAATATGTAAAAAAATACTCAAAAGTTTTTAAACAAGTTTGTACCATGGCAAAATCTATTTACATACGTGACAAAATTAAAAACTCAGGCAACAAAATTAAAGCTACTTGGAATTGTATTAATAAAGAAACTTGTAGAATTATATCTCGGGATGACACATTCGCATTAAAAATTGATAATAAGTATATTAAATGCAATGATAAGGTAGCAAACGCATTCGAAGGTTACTTCTCAAATGTACCAATCATAACAACAAGCAATCTTAATTCATGTTCATATCAGGCAATGTCTCTTCTCGAGGGTTGTGTTGATGTTTGCAATAGCCCATTAAAATTTAGACAAATAGACCCCATAGTTATTATAAAAACTTTCAAAGAACTAAATATAAAAAAGACAGAGGATATATGGGGCATATCAACAGACATAATAAAACCCATCATTCCTCTTATAGCTCCCCATTTAGCTCATATCTTTAATGAATGTATTAACGAAGGTCAGTTCCCTACCCTGATGAAACATAGTAAAATCATACCATTATTTAAAGCAGGAGACAAAAGTGACCCATCCAACTTTAGACCTATATCGATACTACCTGCGCTCAGTAAAATATTTGAAAAAATTATTTTCAATCAACTACTGTCTCATTTTAACTTAAATAAACTGTTTCATGAAAAACAATATGGGTTCACAAAAGGGAAAAGTACGACCGATGCAGGGGTTGCTCTTATCAAACACATTTTCGATGCTTGGCAGGAGAAAAAAGATGCTATTGGTGTATTTTGTGACTTATCGAAGGCGTTTGACTGTGTTGATCATCAAACTCTGTTATTTAAGCTAGAACATTATGGCGTATCAGGCAAGGCCTTAAGCCTATTACACTCTTACCTCTCAGACAGATTACAAAAAGTAAATATTCACGGAACTAACTCTTCGGGCGCCCCCCTAAAAATGGGAGTGCCCCAAGGCTCAATACTGGGACCATTGCTCTTTCTGATTTATATAAATGATCTACCTTTTTATTCAAAGGACCTTTGTGAGATAGTATTATTTGCTGATGACACTTCTTTAATTTTTAAAACTGACAGGCGTCAGGAAATATTTGACGACGTGAATAATGCTCTTTCCAAAGTATTAGACTGGTTTACAACTAATAATTTGCTATTAAACGCAAAAAAAACCAAATGTTTAAAATTCACTATGCCTAATGTCAAACAAGTTAATACTAATATTACAGTAAATAATGAACGCATTGAACTGATAAACTCTACTGTCTTTCTAGGTATTACCCTAGACTGTAAATTACAATGGGGCCCCCATATTGCTGCCTTGGCGGGAAGACTTAGTTCAGCTGCCTTTGCGGTGAGAAAGATCAGAAACTTGACTGATGTTGAAACAGCAAGGCTTGTATATTTTAGTTATTTTCATAGTATTATGTCTTATGGTCTTTTACTGTGGGGCTCAGCAGCAGACATAGAATCAATTTTCATTTTACAGAAAAGAGCTGTTCGGGCAATATACGGTCTTAAACCACGTGACTCGCTTAGAGAAGTTTTTAAAGAAATCAATATATTGACTGTGGCTTCGCAATACATATTTGATAACATTATGTATGTCCGTAAACATATACATTTATTTACTAAGAAAAGTGACGTCCACTCATTTAACACGAGACATAAGAATAAACTTGCTGTTCCATCATTTAGGTTGCATAAGATAGGTAATTCATTCTTGGGGAAATGTATTACCATATTTAACAAAATACCACACAACCTTGTCGAATTGCCAATAAACAAATTTAAGATACATATAAAAAATACCCTTATGTCCAAAGGGTACTACAAGGTTCGAGACTATATTGATGACAAGGATGCGTGGTCAGTTCAGTCTGCACATATTTGATGTACTTAAATTTGACTATTCTTACCGTTAGATAATTCCTGGCAATAAGTGGTGACTGAGTTTGTTCCGGCGTTTCTTCTCAGCACTTGCCATATGTTTGTCTCGAAGCGCTGGTAGGGCCCAAAAGATAAGGAGACATGTAAAGTGCCCCATAAGGGCTACCTTTTCTTTTTTTTTTATTTATTATTTTCTATTGACGTTCATAAGTGCCACTTGTGGTCTAAACTGAATAAATGTTTTTTTGATTTTGATTTTGATTTTGAATAATTATTCAGACCCTGAAGTTACGAAACCCGAAAGTTGTGTGACGTCCCAGTGAAATTTAAATTGTGAAGGTAGTAGAAGAGAAGTCAGGTTTTTGTGTAAAATAAAGAAAGGATTTTGAATAATTTTATTGTAAGTAGGTACGTTAAGTTATTAATATGTTTGTTTTGTCTATGAGATTAATATTACTCATTTAAAGTGCATGCATGTGTAAGATTATTTCACATTTATTTATTATTAATGCGTATGCGTTTTTAGTGTTATGTATATTACTTTCAAGTTTTGTATTATTTTAAATTTATTGTTTACTAGGTTTCCGCCCGCGGCTTCGCCCGCATGGAATTTTGTCTGTCACAGAAAAAATTTATCGCGCGCGTCATTGTTTCAAAACCTGGATAAAAACTATCCTATGTCCTTTCCCGGGACTCAAACTATCTCCTTTAGCTTTAGGCGTGGAAGCGAGACAGATAGACAGACAGAGTTACTTTCGCATTTATAATATTAGCATAGATTTTACTTTTAAATAACGTATAATCTTCTCGTAGCCACTAGCCAAAATATTTTATTGCGAGTTTTCGGTTTTACCGATTAAACGTTTATTGGATTATCATATCCGCTTAAAAACCTGACCTCTACGGATGTCTCTATCGATTGTACTGTGTTTCGCCAGAAATAGGTAATTTTCGCTCCCTAATGTAAATGGGGCGTCATCCATTTTGATTTCGTCTCGGCAACAGGCAAATTTATTCCTGTTTATCCCATCGCAAACTCACGGTGACCGGCGAAAGACGCCTCGACGAATCTTGATGCAGTTTAGATTACATTGAGGATATTGTTCTGAGCTAAGCTAGCTTGTTCGCAGGTAATGGACAATGGAAGGCAACTGCAGGTTTTATACGTGGTCATTTTATACCAGTTGCTGTTTTTGGTGGCTCCCCACTTTTGCTTTATAAAGAGGCTGACCCCACCGCCAATTGCCAGTCCATAGTCAGTGGTGGAACACGATCAGATTTGTTTAGAAAAAATCACAATGAAGGCAGTGACGCTCGTTGTTTTTGGTAAGTTTTTTTACACTTAACAATACGATGTGTCATTTTTGGCGTTGTTACATATAAATTCTCAAGGTATTCCGCATTGAACTATTGTTTATATTGTGTATTTTCCTCTTACAATGTGCTGATTATTCACTAATGTTTACTTGTACCTACACGTTAAGTATTCAACCATTTATGTAGTTACTGCTTTAAACCGAGCTGACGATAACAGTATGATATCGTTAACGTCTATAATATTTATTTATGCAATATTTATTATGAGTGATAAATATCTAGTAACATTGTTGTATGCAAAATCTCTAGTGCAATTAAGAAGTGCAATTATTGGTTAATTTTTCTAGAGAAAATGTTCGAGGATAAAGAGTTTCAAATGCGATTTTCATGTGATAAATTCAGGTTCCATTTGTCGTGTAGGTTTCAAACTTCCAACAATAATCCCAACTATTTACAAGTTGGGTTTATTAGGTATATAGCATGGAATATTATTTACCGATGTACTCGTACATATTTTGTATTTATTCTATGAATTTACTAGAATTGATACCTACAGTGCATCTCTACGAAAAAGAAATACCTACTCACTTTTTATATGGGCATCTCGAAATCAAGAAACTAATGTAGGTTTTTTCCCAGTTTGGTAAAGGAAGAGGCAATGAACTTTCTAACGAATTTCCTACCAGCCTTAATAATAAACCAAGACTTTTTGTTCCCACCTACTAACTAATGGACAGCTAAAAGAAGTCGAAAAAGTTTGCTTACATTTTTACTTATTAATCGACCATTAATAAAGATAAATAACTTGAAATCACTTACGTCGAACCAGTGTGCTTGCAATGACATCATCGAATACAAATCCCGGACGATTGAGCTATAAAACCTTAATAAAATTGAGTTTAAAAGGACATTGCGAAACTGGTACTTGTGGGAACGAGTGGCCAGTCTTCCTGCGATTATCTGAGCCAATGACGCCTCAGCGACCTTATTGCTCCTGTAAGGTCAGGCGCGAGCGCAGCCGGTTATCTTTATAGCCTTTATTACATGATGAGCTCAACTTCTTAATGCGATATGGAACTAAGTAGAAACGTACATCCATCATTCTAGAGCTACAATGATGCTATCTTACTTTAGGATAATGATGACAAATGATGGTCAGTGTGACAAATTATGAGCATGCTGTCTAATTTTTTATTCAAATAATGCTTTGCAAACAATACAAGTTTGAGTCAAAGTTAAAGATTAACCTCTTTAACAAAGAACACTACTACATTTAGGCTGAGTTGCACCACCTAACTTTAACGGTAACTATAAAGATAACCGGTGCTTTTTGTATGGAGTTTGACAGATTTTTGACATCGGTTAAAGTTAAAGGAGGATGGTGCCTCAGAATGGTGCAGTGTAACCCAGCCTTAGTAAATAGTATCTAAAGCTACGTATAATAAAAACATTATACTCCTATTTCTAGAACTCTAGCTCTACCGTTGAGTATTTCGTAAGTTCGCAACTCCAATTAATGAAGGTAATAATGCGAAAATAAACATTTGTAACGCTTACGGTTTTTGAAATCGCATTTCAAAACGAAGTATGTTCTAGGTAATGAAGACATGTTTAGGCTCGTTAGCGTCATGATTAACTATGACTTCAATTCAAAAGTTGTCTAGTTAAGGATACACTGATTAATTCATTGCGGGTCCAATGATAACTTTCCCTTGGCCTTTAATAGTCAAGCTAGGTACATAGGTACGTCCTGCACAGGAGTTACGATAGAGCAAGAGGTGGGAATGATCCCGTAGTTATAACACTAAAAAATACTTAGGCTACAAACAAGCTGGTGTTAAATATTGCACTGGTACGTTACACGTTACATTCCCTCTAATATGGTCGAGTGAAGCGATGGCTGGTTCACTCGTCATGTCTGTGAACAGGCGCTGCTTTCGGGGACTGGTCAATCCAAGTTATTCAAATTTATGCATGCGAGTCATTTCTACTAGTATTTTAATATGTAAGTCTAGATATTAGCACGTCACTACCTTGTTTAATATACCACGCAATTTTGTTTACCCATTCTTATAAGATACACCATACAAGAATGCATGGTAAATTCAGTGAACTGCTCCTGAATCGAATGAACCTACTACTGCTATTTCTATTTATTTATATTAACCGGCAGACAGTGGTGACTGAGTTTGTTGCGGCGCTTCTTCTCAGCACTTGCCAAATGTTGGTCTCGAAGCGCTGGTAGGGTAAAAAGATTATGAGACATGTAGAGGCTCCTTAAGAGCAAAATGACGATTTGTAAGAACTATTTATTAGTCCAAACAAATAAATAAATTTTGACTTTGACTTTGACTTTGACTTTGACTGGAAATAGTTTTGCATACTTACAATAAGGATTCTGCTGGTCCGAACCGAAAGAGATTATACACGAGAGACATTAAAAATATTACTTTCTCTTTACTGTATCTTCGTCTCTTAGTGAGTACATAAAGTAAAACAATTAGAACACTTGTTCTTATCTCTAGAAAGCAGTCTCTTCCAGTCGACCTTAAAAACAAATTTATTCCTTATTCCTCATTACAACACCTTGACATCTAATGGTAATCTGTCTATTCCCAGCGGTGGTGCTGGTGGCGGTGTCGGCCAGGCCTGACAAGCCCGACCTGAAGCAACTCAAGGCTGACGCGGCCCGCAAGAAGGCCTGCATGCAGGACTGCACCAGCGCGAAATTCGACCCTGTCTGCGCGGGCAAGGACGGAGAGAAGCCCAAGTCTTTCGGCAGCGAGTGCGTCATGAACAACTACAACTGCGAGCACAAAGAAAGTAAGTAGACAAAATGTTTTTAGGGTTCCGTAGTCTTGACAAGGAATTCTTATAGTTTCGTTATTTTATGCATAACAAGGCAAGTATTTGACCGCCACCGCAATGTTTCATCATTTCAGCCATAGGACGTCTAACTGAACGTAGGCTTCCCCCAATGATTTCCGTAATGACCGGTTGGTAGCGAATATGTTTGGTCTGCTTTATTCCAGGTCCCGAGGGTCCTCGAAGCACATTCTCATTATCCAGCGCGTTATGCCGCGCTGTATTGTTGTAATACACGTGTATTTTATTGACTCTAATTTTGAGAAATGAAAGAAACTTTTTTTTTAAATAAACCACTTGAAAAAATCGAACTGCCTAAGGCGGGACTCGAGCCCACGACCTTCCGCTTGCCGGGCGACTGCTCTTCCAACTGAGCTAGTTATTTAATTTTAATAACGATTAAAAGATACTTTATAATATAACATAAATACCTAATGAACAAGCTGTTGAGGCAGTACATTTTTATGTAACAGTAATATAGGAACAAATGAAAATGATCGCTTTATATGGATCTAAATACTTTTTTTAATAACTTTGGATCTGAACATTTGAATGTATCCGTTAAACAAGTAGGTACTATGTACTATGTATAAAGTAAAGATCAAACTCATATGTGGTTAAACAGACACGTACTAATTAGAGACTGGATCAATCTATTCAACAAAGGCTGTTGTTGACAACTTTTGGGCAGTAAACGGAGAGAGATTATTGAACTTTCTATTTTACCTCATTTCGAGTTATTTTCGTGCATTGTGATAACAATAAAGGTGTCATGAAGAGCAGTTTTATTTGTGAAAAACCACTGACAACAATCTGATTCGGTCTGCCGCTGTATTGGCGTCCGGCCGAGTGTGACGTGTAGCACAATGGGACTGACTGCCATTGTGGAACTGTTAGGGCTACCCAATGTTAACTGGACTGATGTAGCTTAAATTAGATCCTATGATAAGATGTCAGTGGTGAACGTTATGAGGTAGTTTGGCAATTCGTACATCAATTGAAGGCTAGTAAGGTACTGCCACAATAGGTTGCCTTGCTGTCTAAAACTGTGTTTGTTCTTTATGCTTATTAAGTATCGCGGTTTTGTAAAAACTTTTTATTAATTTGCTTCGCCATTATGAGTGAAAGAAAAGTTGAGCATAGCCCTTTCTAGTATAGCTGGCATTTTTCAACAAATATAGTTTACACTCTTTATACGAAATAAGATTAAGAGACAATTGAATTTGCATATCTAGGATGCACGTTGTTAACTTATTTATCAAAATCATAACTTTACCTCAGTAGTTAAATTTTGCCAACCCTATTTTTGTTGAAACCGGATAGTGAGTCAGTTAGTTTTTTGCACGCCACGTATTTCCCTGAACTAAGCATAGGCTAATAGGTATTTAGATATATTAAATTTAGCACTCTTATCTTTGTGTGCATGCCTATTTTAAGCAAACCCGTCTTCGTTTTATAACTTGGAAGTTTTCGAAAATACCTATACATTAAGTAGTTACATAGCACTTAAGATGTTAAAGTGCTCTACTCGTATTTTCCTCAATACATGACATTTTATACTAAAGCATTATTAAAGTTATTATTCTATTTTGGTTAATGATACACTTGTTTGTACCTTATGCTATTTGAACCATGTATTTAATTAAATACATTATGACGTATCAATACATTCTTAACAATTAATTAACTAATATTAGTTCAAACTATGTTGAGCGCTCTAACAAACACAAGGATCTCATCATTGTGGTTTTATTTATAGTTTAGAAGGCCGATAAGGCCCATCCCGTTTTTTTAGAATCTAGGCAAAGTTATACGTCTATCTCTACCAATATTTAAGTAAAAAGTAACAGACTTATAACTGTATGATTTATAAAATTAGTAATATTTATTCTTATTAAAAATACTTATTCAGAAAGTCCTACCAAATCTTACAAAAGTAAACAATTGGTTGTATTGAGCTATCTCGAAGCACGAGTTTAGAATTACAATCGAACTAGAAGCAGTTAAATGGATCCGGATTGTAATTATTGATCAAATATTTAGTTTTAATATATTTCTTTTCTGTTTCCAGCCCTGCATAAGATCAAGAAGGGAGAGTGTCCCGGCTCCGACGGCATCCGCCTATCTTAAATATTTTAACTACCCTACTTAAAGTATCGCTGTAACCTTGTTACACTTTATGTTTAATTACCTATTTACTTATAATTAGAGTTAAGAGTTTAAGACAGCAAACTTATATTGCTTTGCAGCCACACTTTTCAAAGGAGCTGTGATGAATTAGCGCGTATTTGAGCTTTTTTTAGTTTCATCATCAACAGTATCATCGTAGTGTTTTGCATTTAAGCATTTTATTTTATCATCTTGTTTTTTATCGTTTTGTTTATCATCACTTTATTGATACGTATTTCGTTTTGTGCTTATTAGAACATTTGAGTTTAGTGCAGTTTTTTTATGTTTGTTTTAGTTGTTTATTGTGCTGACACGGCTTAACCATTGTTATTATTAGTCTCGATTGTGCACAGAGAGGGTTTCCGAGGACAAAGTGATTTTAGTTCTTAGTTCTTAGATATAACTATTTGTGCTTTTCTTGTAATAGCATTTATGAAATCTTGTATACTTTTGGCGTCATTTTCATTTCTTGGCCAGATAAGTAAATAAGATCGGATTTAGAAATGGTGTAAAGTCCGTAAAAAAAGATACGTCTCTAAGCTGTATGGTATCAGAGATATGTTAGAGGTTTCAATTTCGTTCTTATCAGGTTCTAAGTCACAATTAGGTTATAGGTTAGGTTAGGCATGTCGGAAGGCCATAATAAGTATATCCTGAACGTCGTTTCTAACCTTTGGGTTTGTCTATCGCTGTCACTTTTGCCCGCATCTCTTTGAGTGAGGGACTTATAGGATTTCGTGCTGCTATTTGAACAAAACTGCGTACCGGAAAACGCAGCGTGGGACGTCCACCTACAAGGTGGACCGACGACATCGTAAAGGTAGCAAGGAAGCGCTGGACGCAGGCCGCTACCAATCGATCAACATGGAAAGCATTGAAGGAGGCCTATGTTCAGCATTGGACGTCCTATGACTGAAATGATGATGATGATGATGATGATTTGAACAAAACGTTTAAAACCGCCTGATAAGATCGAATAGTTACCTTTAATACTAGTCTAATCTCTAATGATCATCATCATGATTATAGCCATAAAAACAATAACCCAGCTGTTTCTAGCTGAGCCTCTTCAGCTTTCATTTTTTTCTTTCGGACTTATTATCTTTAACCATACAAATTCAATGGAACAAATAAGTACCTACTGGTATTTATCAAGAAAAAAAAAACGATGCCAAAAGGTTGCATTATCTTTTTAGTTTTTATCGTTATGTGCGGTCATTATTTCATTCAAGTTTTTTATTCTTTATTATTTTTGCTTATTTCAGTTAATGTCTAAGTTTTTTATTGTGTACTTTTTTATTATTCAGGTAGGTATTGTGCCTAAGATTTCTATTCATTTATCCAGTTATATTTTTAAGATTTTTTAATATTTTTATATTCTCTAAGTTTTTTTTATCTTTAAATATTAACCTGTTTGCGTTAGTGACTAAGGTTTTTGAATAAATAAATAGTATAAAAATATTTATTTTTTTATTACCTAGCTTAGTTTAGTCTCTCAAATAAATGATCACTTAAATTAGTCTATGCGTGTATTTGTAAGAAAGATACCTACTTATTTATTTCTTTACTTTCTAAAATACACGATTATTTTGAGGAATTTTCTAATGAATGTATTGGACTAAATTACTTACGAGTATATTATTTTAAATGAAGATAACAGATCAAATATAAAGTACATAATCACAACTGCGTAGTTAAAAGTAGTATTGATACTTGTCTATTTACTTATCATAAATTGTAAACCTAATTTAATGAGTTCTATTTTTGGTTTGCAAACAAGACTTGTGAAGTTAAGGTAAATAGAAATGATAATTTTAAATTGTCATCAAATTATTAATAGTGGAAACGTTTTTTGGAAATAATGAATTTGTGTTAGTATGTGCTTGTTCTGTACCTACTGGTATGATTAACAGCTATCACCTCCACACATGGTAGGTACAGTGGTTAGAATTTATGAAACTCTCGGATGTAACACACCTTCTGAAAATTGCCATTTTTTTTGAGATTGTGAGTAAATTGTTGCAATATGTTGAACTTTTACGTTGAACTGCCTACATCCGTTTGGTTCTCGAAGAGCAGAAAGTTAAAAATCTCTTGGTTTTCACTTTTTGCTCAGCGAAGACAAGTATTTCGAAGCTGCAAACTTGGATATACGGTAGGTACTAACACCATATTCAAAAATCAGAACAAACCGTTATTTTGCGTCTTTATTGATTTTTCTGGTCAAATATAAAACTGGCCTATTAAGGATGGGTTGCACCATCTTATTTTAACTTTGACAAACGTCAAAAATCTGTCAAACTCCATACAAAATCACCGGATAACGTTATAGTTACGGTCAAAGTTAGATGCTGCAACTCAGCCTAATTAAATATGTGTTGGTTTAGCTACATTAGAAGAATAAACAAACTATCCCTAATTAATATGAGTAGTAACACAGTTCCAATGCCACGTCAATTGACCTAAAACCTGTCGATAAACAAAGTAGACTGCTTGACGCTGCGACAAACATTTCATTAGTATTTGTAATAAACTTAATGGATAGGAATTTCCCAGAAGATGTACAGTCAGGCACATACATTCCTGATGAACGTTGAATAGTAAAATTTTATAAGTTACCTTTTTTTACATAATATGTATACCGTAATGACTATCTTCGCTATAAGGTAGGTATTATTTTCTGTAGATAGGATAGATTTCAAAGTAGAAACAACCATATTGTTTTAAAAAGCTTTATTCATCTACGTCTAAATAATGAAACATTATACAGAACTGGAATATTTCAGTTCTGAAACGCGTACTTTGTACACAATAAATAAAATAAGAATTACACTAATCTTTACCACTCTCATAAAATCATATTATACCAATGGTTTCAAATCTTACAATCCTAAATTATGTAACAATTTTGAATTTTAGGAACTTTGGCAAGAGTCTTATTGAGTAATACAAAAAGCTAAAATATATAATCTTTGGAAATTGTCTTGACCGCCACACAAGACGTAAAGTACTTTATAAAATTACAAACTTCTCTAGTAATCTCTTTATTATCATTATCAATTAGCTTAATTATGAATCTTACTATACATGGGGTTATCTTATAAAAGCTGAGATAATTAACCATATGAAGAAACTAAGGCAAGAGATTTTAATAATGCAACGCCAGGTAGGACAAAAATATGAATCATGAAAAGGTTTCAAAAATAACTTTTTACTGCCGATTATTATGAATTTTTAAAATTACTATTAGAGAAGACGATTTGTAGTTACCTACTACACTTATTGGTAAAATATTAAAATGTTTTCCTTAATTTAATATTTTTCATGAGGTTCACAGTTACTATTTTACCAAGTAGGTAGGTACAATCATTTTGTGTAAAAATATTTGTAAAACATTGGTTCAAAAAAGACTTTGAACTGTAGTGCTCTGATGGCATCGTTATCTGTATTGTTTACATTATGAACACTGACAAGATATAATTTACGTAGGTACATATCTATCTACATACAAAACATATACTGGTAGTAACCACAATTAAAGTTTCCATCTTTGAATCTCACCTTTTATTAATAAAGTAAAGTATGTTTGCTACCCAATGGTTTTTTCAAAAGTAAAGGTACGTTTTGGCAACCCCGTAAGAAGATAAGGTTCGTTACAGAACGAAGTTCTAAACTCTATTCAATCTCAAGGTAGATTGATACCTACTTTTGGTTGGTTTTTAATATTTAATTTGTTAGACCAATCATAGTACTGTAACTCTATGCCAGATTGAATTGAGTTTTGAGCGGAAAAGTAGCTGTCAGGCAGTGAAAAGCGGTCTATTATAAAAACGAAATACGACAGTTTGGAGTTTGAACGAATCAATGACGAAAAGTGTTATATGCATTATTGACGGATTTCGTTTTCGTAGAAGACCTCGAAAGAATGATCTCACTGGTTTTGGTTGGATTTTTACAGATTTAAAGACACAATGTAAGGTAATGTACATTTTCTTAAGTTTGTTGACAACTGGTTGACGAATGACTTATGTATTTGTTATGGCCATCTCTCTATGTACTTAATCTGGAATTAGTTTTACCACTCGACCGGTAGTACCGTGAAAATAGGCATTAAACACGTGACACGTCATTGAAATTATTGCTTCTTCATAATCTTTTTAGAACTGTTTCGATCGAGTGATGAGTCATGTTTAGTAGGCATTTTCCAGCTGAAAAAATGAATATTTGTACTGTTTTCTCATCTATAGGCTTGAAGTAGTCACGTCTGAAGATAACTGTCCGTATATCGCCGTACTCCAGCGTACAGCTTAGACTAAGGAGACGGCTCTGTAGGTTCTCCCGCCCGCCCGTCGTCAACACTCGCCCAGGCTCGTAATCGCGTAATCTGTAAGCAAACACGTTGTACATTGAATCGAATGAAGTAACGAAACAAATATAAGGAAATGGTTTGTGTTGTTATTTGTTTTGTTCAACGAATACGAGGAAATTCGATTTGTAGAGCATTGTTTACGTGTATTTAAGGTAGGTATGTTCAATATCAATTTATCCAAATGTAGTATGGAGGGCGAATCAAATCACATTTTTTCATATGATATTTATTCTAAACGAAAAGTGAATATAACTAGTGACCTACTAATGTGTAATTTAGGAATTTCATACTACTCGTAATCCCTTCATGTGATCGAATTTCAGGTGTTAATAAAGGAGTTCTTTTTACGTTGCTAACGACGATTATGTGTCTTTGAGGTCTTTATGATTGATTTTATGAAATTGTGCACCAGCCCATATGTTGTCCCGAAGTGGTGGTAGGGCAAGCTATATTTGGGACGTGTATAAGTGCCCTGGAAAGGGCCCATGTACTGAATGAACTATTTTAATTTGTGGTTTTAGCAGTTTACACGCGAAAGGTGTTTTAATAAATAAATAAATATATGTCCTTGGACATTTTTACACTGCGCGGCTAGCCCCAAACTAAGCAAAGCTTGTACTATGGGTACTAGACAACGGATATAAACATACTTAAATACTTTTTTTTATGCAAATAAATCTACATATTATACATAGAAAACACCCAGACCCGTCACAGAAATTAAAATTCTTCATTTCAATTTCTGCTCGGCCAGGAATCGAACCCGGGACCTCTCGGCATAGTAGTCCGTTCTGAACCACTACACCAAACGGCCGATTTTAGTGTTATCATATTTTTTATTTATTTATTATTACATTATTTAGCCGTTACATCTTTGATTTATATTGTCTTAAATTATCTATATTCATATGTATGTAAACTTAAAGGTGCTCACATGTGCTTTCACGACACGAAGCTGCTTCCAGGTCGCATAGCGTCGCAAACGTCCGCGCGGTGCCGGTGGCGTCGAAGGCACACACGGGCCCCGCGGGCGGCGCCCCACAGCGCCCCGCGCAGAGGGGGGGCGGCACCCCCTCCCTCACCTTGAGCTCGTTGGGGGCTCGAGCCTCGCCATCGCCCCCCACAACTTCATAGTCGTAGCCGAGACGGGAGGGGGGCAGCGGCAACTTTGCTGACTGGGTCTCCTGCCACGCTGAAAAGACGGAGGTTGAATTTGAAACATTGCAGTTTTGCAAACGGGATTTTAATAAAATTACAGTAGGTAAAAGAGGAAGAGTTTTTAAATAACAGACATTTCTTTCAATAAAGATACTGGATCCACTTCAGAAAGTTCAGAGTTTAAAAGGATATTGAAACAAAAATTACTACGAGCTACGAAACCGCTCGTTGATGTCTTTTGGCTATACCGAATTTTTTCGCTTTCTTTTGTACACTGTTTATTTTCAATATGTGAGTTTATGATTTGACATCTTAGTACCGTGTACGAGTATACTATATGCAATACATTCTCTGTCTCTCGTATGTATTAAAATAATTTACATGACAAAAATAATCGTAGCATATTTCTTAGCACCTATCGTAGCAAATACATAAAATCTCTTTCAATAAAAAAACCATTCCGATTCCCTTACGATTCTTTTCATACAACATTTAAAAACAAAGAGCGACCTGACACCCGCGATAACCGCGTTAACTTACGACTGCAATGGGCATAAACGTAGCTTAATTGTTTCTTGTTTTATTCCATTATTGTTGTGGCGAGTCCGAGATTACTGGGTTACGTTCGCGACCTTTTTTAATCTAATCACCCAGCGTTATTTATTTTCCTAAAATTTTCCTGTGATCTCATCTTTATTACGCATTTGAGTTATCGACAGCATAGTTTACAAACAACACCACATGTACATAGTAGTGTTTTGCAACTAACAAAGATGCTCGTTTGCACTTGAGATGTTTATGTTTTGCTAACATTGAGAGAGTAGGTACTTCTTTAACTTATTTCTTTCAAATCAGTTTGATACATGGCTGCCTCAAATGCTAGTCTTTTTTTGGAAACCTGCCGTTAAAGAGGCATACATACACTTCATATTCTTCTACCGTATGCAATGATGGCCAGAAGTCAAAAGTAGGTGTATTTCATGAGCTGACTTGGCTCAATGAGGGCTATCGTTTTTATACTTAACAGTTGGCACCCCTGGCGATTGACAGGACCTTACTCTACAGTGGCGCCGTCTTGATGAGTGCAAATGCGATAGTCCTCCTACCACTGTAACGCTCACCAGTTGGTGCCACTGTCTTCGCTGCTAGCAAGTGACAGGACCTTACTCTACAGTGGCGCTAACTGGTGAGCGCTAAAACGATAGCCCTCATTGACCGACAGCTTAACGTAGTCTCTGAAGCATGGAATCATACATATATAATTTCGATAAGTGGTAAAAGGACACAAAGCTCGATTTGCATTCAGTTTGACAATATAATATTTAAATATATAATTAGTGAAGTTTGACATAAGATTTTATGCATTTATCTAAAGTTCTACTCGATGGTTTGTATGTAGTCAAAACAAATAAAGATATGTGCCTATTTCTGGCTTATGGAAGAGCAAAGCTATGGTTGTGAGTATTGGTAAAAAACAATCGCTATCGCTCAAGCAATCATACCTCCAGCAATTAAAACCATAAATGCCCGTGGTTCACCCGCAGTTCACTAGAATCTATGTCCTACATAGACCCAGAACCAGAGGAAATATTTCCTCTTATGTGTTCTAGTCCGGATACAATATACATTAAAAGATAATAACTATGTAGTGGATGACTATTAATCATATGACCACAATCTGACCCAGCACAGCGTACTGCGCAGTATGGTTCCCGACTATTTTTTTATCTAGTGCGTCAGCGGCCCCGTTGCCCAAAGACACTGGTCCTGATAATGCTTGAGTCATCAGGATGCGGGATATCGCGTTCCCACGCTTCACGATCACAAAATGATGCAATTTTGAATTAATTACACTAATTAATTATTTGATAAATTAAAATAAAAAAGTGATATACGTCTCACAGTCAGTAAAATAGTATTTTGTGTATCAAGTTGTTTGAATAGTTTCTCGGACTTTTTAACCAATTGGATTAGGGTTATTTTATTAACAGCTTTGTCTCCTNTGTCTCCCAGATTGATCTTTCTTTTTATGTAGTGCACAGTTCTTTTGTGATCTAATCGTGCCTGATTCTGTCATGTGTCACAAGAGCAAGTAAGTATAGTTAAAATGACGAAAACTTGCCAAGAAATCTACCTTGACATCGTTATTTGAAGAAGACGAAATTAATAAATAAATCGCTGATTATACTTGTTAATTGATCAAATAAAATAAGTAAACTAAACTAATTCTAAATATATTTTATAATGATAGTAACCGGTCAGTTACTTTAATACCTATATGTAGGCAGTTTATTTTTTACATTTTACACTGCGCCTCTAGTCCCAAACTAAGCGAAGCTTGTACTATGGGTACTAGACAACGGATACAAACATACTTATATATTTTTTTTAAATACATAATATTATACATAGTAACCCAGACCCGTCACATAAATTAAAATACATCATTTCTATTTCTGCCCGGCCGGGAATCGAAAACGGGACCTCTCAGCATAGTAGTCCGTTCTGAACCACAACACCAAACGGCTGACAGTTAAAAGCTACTGTTTTGTGATAATCATATAAACAAAGTACTGTAGGTAAATCAATCTGGCGTTACAGAATGCTACGATTTTCACAGAGATGTGAAATTGTGAATAAGTAGAACGTTTTTCATTCATTTTCATAAAAAAATCAGGACAGTGATCTGAGGTCATAGCGCGCGCTAGCTTCACCCCCGAAGCGAACAGGCTATGTACATGGTACATAATATAAATTGCTAACAAACAATTTTATATTCGCTACGTTGTTTTGTTGCGGGTGCACATGCATTGACGTCTGAATGTCTGTCCGTTGATCGATTACTCACGCCTATTAATAAGCGTGCTGTGGGCGTGAGGCGATAACCCTGGGTTCAAGATGCCAAATGGTCTCATGAAGACGCTTGGACGGCAGCTGCCATACTTGTTTTCGTAAACTTTGATCGCCATCGCCATTATGTGACGCTCGAATAGCGTTTCTATCGCGACGCAGCGTTTCGTATGCCGATTGCAAAAAGAGCTTTATCTCTACATACTCAAGGTTTATCAAGAGTGAAGTCTATAGTTTTTATTTAGGTTTAATTGTATTGAACGCTGTCCGGATTCAATAAATATTTTATTTTCATTATCTGTATAAAAATAAAATTTAAAGATAGTATGGTTTAAAGATAGATAATATAATTTAACCAAAACCTAAAACAAGATAAACAAGAAGAAACTAAGTAGGTACAATTAAACCTTAAAATTATCTAAATTTAAAAATACTTATAGCAAAGATGTAAACATTATCTGACCACACACAATAGGCAATAATTACTACTGAGAAGTCACGTTATCACCTAAATGTGTATCTAATAATAGTAAGGCGATTTGATTTACCGAGCAGTATTTGATAATTGTGTCAAATCGTTAATAACTACTCAATATTTTACTGGGACGATAAAGTATATGAAAATAGAATAGCCGGTTCCAATGCAGTACTCAGTACTTATTTATACAATAGGAAAGTTTTCAAGAAATATTTATAATATTTTATTTGTCACTTTTCCAACTTTCATGAATTTTCTCGTGCAAAGTTTTAATGTTCACTATAAATTGAAAGCTTTCATGCGCTTACACATTAAGACGTTATTAAGTAGGTACGATAAAGTAATGTTAATTAAAATTATGAACAAACAATTGACAAGTAATTTTAAGTAAGTGAATTTAACAATTGAATTTAAATATTTAATCCATGATCTAATAAGAGACATTTTATCTCATTTTTGTGCCTGGGTTACGAATTGAATATTGTATTGTACACAATTACGAGTATAATGCCCGTTTTCACCATCAATCCGTAATTTTTAAGTGACCCCTATGGCAACACTTAACAGCAATTTTGTTTTCATAGGGGTCACTTAATAATTAGGGATTGATAGAGAAAACGGGCATAAGTGGCTTAAAATATTAAAAAATCATGTCCACTTTGGTAAACACAGAATTTCCGCGATGGAATCCTGAAATTCAGCACTTAACTTACCAGCAACTAAAATGGCGCACAAAATAATCTTCCTGCTGTGCATTTCCAACTGATTAAATCCAAATTGTGAACTTTGGAGCACAACTTCACTCGCGATTGTTTATTGTGTTTTTTAATGGAATCGTTCTACATTAGATGGTTTGTTTGTGTGTAGTGGGTCGGACTTATCGGTCCACTGGTGCATCGAGCGGCGACTGGAGGGGCGCGATGCTTGATAACCCGACGGACGACTGCACGATAACAACGCCGACTTTCAAATGAGAGCGGCCATTCTTTTGGTCCGCAGATAAAGCTGGAAACCGTTGGATAAAATATATGATTAATTAATTTGAAATCTTGAAACTGGAGGACTGATACAAAGGAATAAATGATGATAGATGGAAAGTTTGGCATTTAAAATAATTCTGGTATTAATTGTGATTGGTGTAATTTTTAATGAGAAATGCTTTTAGGGTGATTTAAGTACCCCTTTGTGCTGCCATGCAGCGGCGGACCTACAAACCCTTGGTAGAGTCGACAACTATAGATAACGGCTTTCAAGGAAGGCATAAATGTTAAATGTCTTCTAAAAAAATATTTATGTACAATATTTATAATACTTTACACCTATTAAGTAGTAACATGTCGGTGTTATCTATATATATAAAAATGAAACCCGTTTTCCGTTGTCACGACATAACATGAAAACGGCTTGACCGATTTGGCTGATTTTTTTTTGTAGTTTTCTAATACTCTGTACAAGGTCTTTACGGAAAAAAATATAAAGAAAATCTCTACGCTAAGGCGGTACGAAGTTCGCCGGGTCAGCTAGTTATTTATATTTTCATTTATTAATCTATTCTTTATTCAAAATAAGTACAAATCACAGAGGCTCTACGCTATTAATTTTGAGATCACAGCACGTCGTTTTTCAGAGTTAGATTGTTCCATTCACAGTAAACACGGATGTCCTGTGGCTGAAACGATGATGATGATGATACAATATTGCAAAATTCCTAGAATTTCCACTTATACGCTTTATTAGTAATGTAATATGGTCTGACTTGGCTACAACACCTACGTAATTTTATTGCTTGTAAAATTATAAGCATATTTATTAGCTCTACATTATAAATTAGTAAATTAATGGTAACATAATGGTAAATTATTCACACATTAACCTGAACTCTATTGTTTTGTGTGATGCATGACGTAGGTTTAGGTTCTCGTAATAGTTCCGTCATACAGTTTCATTACATATTTTATCGGTCATCTTTGACAATATAAGAGGTGCATGATTTCAGATTATGGGATTCGTGGATACAACTACCTGTAAAGACGTATTGAGTTAGTTTTAAAAATAGCTTTGTGAAAATGAAAACTTTACTATTATTGTTTGTAATTGGTAAGTAACTTAATATTATGTTCGTTATTTTCATAGAAGCATTTTATTATCTTCTCCTAGGAGTCTTTACTAGCGATGGTACTTGTAACTTAGATATTCTTCCGAAAGCACAAAATCTGGTATAGTACTTGCAACTCACGAAAGGCGAGTGAGCTTTACTTGAGTGTGTACGTACGTGTACATGCAAATAACGATAGTGTAATGTCTATCAAAACTTTTGAAAAACGAACAGTAACGAGCCACCACACATGTAAAGCTCACTCGCCTTCGTAAATTGCAACAATTACTCGTATATCTGCGTAACATAGCAACTGCGTGTTTTCAATGTTTTGCATATTTTAAAAGGTTTTTTTACCCAAGATGGAGAAGCATATACTATATTCAGAAAGTACGAACGAGATGAGTGTCGTATAATGTTCCTTTCATAAATTATAATATGACTTTATTTTTTACTGAATTAATTACAAATTAAATAGCTTTTATCCTTTAACTTTTTCAATTAACTTTAATTAATCATACTTACTCATATAATAGCCAGCCTGTTTCGAAGAATTATTAGGTAGCAATCATTTCCTGGCTGACTAAAGAACTTACAGGGGTTTTTCATAGACTCAAATTTTATATTAAAACCACAAAAACGTAGGAAAACATTCTCTTTCGCTATTGGCTATGAGACACGTAATTACATCCTATGAACAAGCGATTAAATGATGTTTTTTCAGGTTTGATATGTAAGGAGACAATAAGCCAACAATCAGTGACCTTAGGTGCTTTCCTGGGGTATGTAACGTTCCTTATATGTCATTGTTATTAATAAACAATTGATTAATTACAAGCTACTAAGTTAATTACAAGAGCTTCCTTAAGGAAAATACTGCTTTGCTTTAAATATATCTTTGTTCCTACTGACAGGTGAAGGAAACTTGAATCTGTTTACTTGTATTTATAATTAAATAGTTATAAAACTGACAATATTATTTATGTATAAACCTATACCATGTTGTATATTTTTAGAATTGTCACATGAGGAGAAATGATTGACGTATGATTTTTTCGAATTAATAAGCACATTTTTATAATATTTTAAAAACAGTTCTAAATATAGTTATTACATACTCGTATATCTGTTTATTTTTAAGAATACATTTTATTGCGCCTTTGCTTATAGTTAAGCAACTATTCACTTCGAAGATACAAGTGTAATCATTCTCACAAGGCATCGTAAGGCTAATGTGAACCTTATTGATTGTAGGATCACTACAGACGAACAAAGGGATTGTGTCTGGACATGTCCGAAAACACCTGAGTATAACCCCATTTGCGGTACCGATGGCGTTGCCTACCGCAACATAGGTCATTTGAACTGTGCTCAGTACTGCGGTATCGGTAAGCAATGTCTTTCTCAACTTTAAATACGCAGTTCAGGATGAAGATAAAGTTCTGGAATATACCACGTATTGGCAAGCGCAGCGTTACATGAACACACCTATATCCACAAGGTGGACAAATTATCACTCTCGCTTCAAAGAGGCCCGGATTATTGTGTTAGGAAAAGACAGCAGCAGGCAATGAAGCTGTTCGCATTATAAAAGAGTTAGTGAAGCGCTTAGTGCGAGCTGGTGGAATGTCGATAAAGTAGGGATGGTACGCGAACCAGCGTTGAACCAGCAGATGGTTCCCCGGTGATGGAAGGAGGGGTGATGATCATTCNGATCATTGGGGTCGGCCTATTTTCAGCAGTGGACATCCTATGGCTGAAATTATAAGTTTTGAGGATGAATATTTAAGTGATAATTTGTACGTTAAAGTTTTACAACCTTCTTTTATTGCCTACAGATGTTCAGCCCACTCATCCGCCACCATGTCCGCCGGCCACGACCACGACCACGACCACGAGCACGACGCCGGGCTGGCGACCTCCTCGTAGTTAAAACAGGGTTCAATTGTTTTTGAATTAATCGAAGTTAATCGAACTTTGCAATCCCCTCATTGCTAAGGAGAGACACTTAAGCGAAGAAAACAACCCACTTAAATGTTACGCCACGCCTAATTATTTTTATTTTTAGAAGATAATAATAAATGTCAATGTCAATAAATCTCATTCAAAAAAGACATTCAAGTTGTTTAGTTAGCAGTGACCTGACAATGACTTTGAACATTATTTTAGCCTTATCGCCTTACTAGTGATATTTTTGGGTTTCTTATTTACACATACTTAGCAACGATCTAAAATAAGAATACCAATTTACTAATTTTACTCTTCAGATTATCTTTATTTGTGTAGACTACCTAATTTTATAATACCAATTATTTATTTAGGAAAAAATAATGTTGTCGTTTACCTAGCTGACTTTTAAAATAGTAAACATTTTGGATGGAATATTCATAAGATAGTTCAACTTAGGTAATTTATTCTGCCTCTGTTTATCAAATCTGATGACGTACGGTATAATGAGAGTGACCAGTTCCTAATGACGAATTCGCGTTTCAAATGAGAGGATTTAAGTAAATGGTTGGTTGACTCGCGGTCATTCCCCTGTCACCAAGAGTTTAGTTATGAGTGATGCTATGAGCTAGCTCTATCATTATGCTAGTTTACGTCAGAAGAGATTCTAAGCAAAAAATACAGGCGGCTGTAAAGGATCATTAAGAACTTCAAAGACCTACAGACCACACACAACTGCTAATCCTATGAGTCAGCTGTACATTGGTACGAGTCTTTTCTACCTTAATTCCTGGGTATATTCCCAATGATACATGGTGAGAAGATCTTAGCTTAAGGTACTCTTTCTCCTAAAGTAGGTATAATTTTTAATCCAACTGAAGGGTAGTCTCGACCGAAACAGTCGAGAATGGCTAGCTGGTGAACTGTTTTCGGACACATTCAGTAAGTAGTTAGTAGGTTCGTTCGTCGAATGACGTCCACTGCCGGACAAAGGCCTTCCCCAAGGATTTCCAAGACCGGTCCTGTGCCGCCCGCAACCNTTTTTGGGTTTTCTTATTTACACATACTTAGCAACGATCTAAAATAAGACTACCAATTATTTATTTAGGAAAAAATAATGTTATCGTTTACCTAGCTGACTTTTAGTAAAGTAAACATTTTGAATGGAATATTCATAAGATAGTTCTACTTAGGTAATTTATTCTGCCTCTGTTTATCAAATCTGATGACGTACGGTATAATGAGAGTGACCAGTTCCTAATGACGAATTCGCGTTTGAAATGAGAGGATTTAAGTAAATGGTTGGTTGACTCGCGGTCATTCCCCTGTCACCAAGAGTTTAGTATGATGCTGTATGAGCTAGCTCCATCATTATCATAGTTTGCGTCAGAAGTGATGGTAACCAAAAAATTCAGGCAGCTGCTAATTAATAAACCATTACAGGATTACCTTCTACTAACAACACAGAGCAATAAGTGTATTGTTGAACAGGTAACGAGTCTCTTCTACCTTGAATCCTGGGTATATTCCCAATGCTACATGGTGAGAAGGTCTTAGCATAAGGAGTACCTAAAGTAGGTATAATTTTGCTATCCAACTGAAGGGTATAGTCTCGCTCGACCGTAACAGTCTAGAATGACTGGTTGGTGAACTGTCTCGGAAACATTCAGCAAGTAGTAGGTTCGTTCGTTTCAATCGAATGACGTCCACTGCCGGACAAAGGCCTTCCCCAAGGATTTCCAAGACCGGTCCTGTGCCGCCCGCAACCAGGCACCTCCGGGGCAGTTAGTAGGTCATCATCATCATCATCATTTCAGCCATAGGACGTCCACTGCTGAACATAGGCCTCCCCCAATGCTTTCCATGTTGATCGATTGGTAGCGGCCTGCATCCAGCGCTTCCCTGCTACCTTTACGATGTCGTCGGTCCACCTTGTAGGTGGACGTCCCACGCTGCGTTTTCCGGTACGCGGCCTCCATTCCAGAACCTTTCTGCCCCATCGACCGTCAGTTCTGCGTACTATGTGCCCTGCCCATTGCCACTTCAGCTTGCTAATCCGTCGGGCTATGTCGGCGACTTTGGTTCGTTTACGGTTAGTAGTTAGTAGATGCTACCATTATTATTATTGCTCTTTCATTGTCAACTGTTGAATTATGAGTACAAGGTTTTCTGGATCACATTTGGGATTTTCAAGCTGTATTATTATGCATAACTTTTTTTTTTTTTGCCTTATCGATAGCCTGCGAACCAGCCAGATGTTAAACCCCAGTGAATGTACACGCAGGTGGGGTGATGGGGTTTTACGCTGATGGGAATGAGTAAGAAGCCAGACGGTTGGGTATTCCTGTCGATGTGAAAGTAATACGAATTTCCTCTTATTAGGTACCTTATTAAGTTCATGTCACTACTTAGAGTTCTAAATGATAAGAGATTATAAGAGGAAAATCTAATAAATTATGTATAAACAAACCTATAAATTAAAATAATATTGTGTTCAAAGGCCTATATTTACGGCGTCCGGGATGGCACGGGCCCTCAGAATAGTCTGGATATTGGGCTACCGTTTTAAAGATGTCAGTAGATAAGTAGTACTAACTCATGAGCTATGATACTAATCCCCCCCCCCTTAAAAAGAACCCTAGATACGCCCAAAAACAAAGTCGAAATCGAGTTCAATTACAACATTGATTTGGAAAAAAACAATAAAAAATCGTTTGCGTGATAAAATCGATACATGTTGTTATTGCCTAACAACTTCTATTATCTACTTTATACCTACATCACTGTAATAACAGCGAATGTCACAACAAGTAACAGCATTCCTAGTGGGATAAACCCGGTAGATTCCAAATAGCCCGCGATAAGTCGCCAAGCTAACTGTCCCGCCATACGCAGGTTGACATGCGCACGAGTTTATAAACATAGTTCCATCGCCGCCGCTCGCAGTGACCAGTGACCCGCCGGCCGGTAACACACAACCAGTTTAAATTTAAATTATTTTACTCAAAAACAAAAATGGAGAAGCTGGCCGTGCTCTTTGTTTTCGGTAAGTATTAACCTTCATAAATGTGAGTTAAATGCATCCGTATTTGCAACGATATTTTGTGATGATAAGCAGTTGCTATACCCAAGTTTATCGATGTGATTTGTTCATAAATCAAATAAAAATAGTTCAGCTTTAAGTACAAAGTTGTGGGAATTAAGCTTTCCTGAACTTATTAGTTTTTAAAAGCTCTTTTAGAAACAAAACGAGTATCATAATACCCTCGTATTGCTTCTAAAAGAGCTTTGAAATTGCTTTCATCTATAAGTTAAAGGAATAGAATAGAATAAGAATAAGAATACTTTATTGAGCATCGAAAAATAAAATAAAAATACAGTAATAAGTAACATTAAACTACAAGCTATGCTGAAGAGGAATCTTAAGACAATTGATTTACGTGACGATGTTAAAATCTAAATTGCTTCTAAAACAGCGTGTTATTGTTTGCATCAGTTGCTAATTAATGCGTTTAAATCTTTTTATTGCCGGTACCACTTCCTGTAATTATCAGTTTCCTCATACCAACCCACGTAAAAACAAATTAGGTACCTACCTAGTTATCAAAGTCACATTCATATTCTTCTTGTATTATGGCAAATAAAATAAGGGAGGACATCTTCATAATTAGTAGTAGTCACAGCATAACCAGTTTTTAGTTTTGCTAACCAGTCGGTGCAAAGTCAAGTGGGTAATTTTGAGTCTATTTCGAAGTGATGAACCAACCGTTGTAGTTGAGTAAAAACCACCTAGTATCTACTTAAAGCAAAAATAAGAAGATGCACGCTTCTTCAAAAGTTCAATTATGTATTGTTGTTGCTATTGGCTTCTTATAAGTAACTAGCCCCGGCTTCGCACGGGTGCTAAGTACTTAGACTTTTAAAAACCTTCCCATTGAATCACTCTTTTAAAAAAACCGCATCAAAATCCGTGGCGTAGTTTTAATGATTTAAGCATACATAGGGATAAACAGCGGAAATCAACTTTGTTTTATACTATGTAGTGATAATTTAATTACTTTATTTTACAGTAAAAAATCTTCTTTTTTGACGCTAGGGTAAATTAGTTCTTCCAAAATGTGCAAAAAAAGAGCTAATGTGTTCGTTCCTTTATTTACAATGACTTACGTCTTTTGAACACAATATCGCAAGAACACGTAACAAATTATCCACAATGTCAACTTGTTTTTATGTCCTGTCAAACAGGAAAATAAATATTTCATACAAAACGTCTTGAATAAATTAATAAATACGCATTTTATTGCATTCCTTGTGTACGTCACAAGAGTTTTAATTTTCAAAAGGCCATAAACAATCTACCTACGTAAAATTAATTCTTAACAATAAATGTTTATATGCATTAAATAAATTGTACCTAAAGCGTAACCGTAACTTACACTTATCAATCAGGTGAACATGTTATCCGAAAAACCTACTTAATTATTATGATTGGTAGGTATAACAATAACAAACAACAAGTTATCGTGGGTCTTGTGGAATTTTTATTTAATTTAAAAACTAAGATATATTAATTGTACCGATTTTATAATAACTGAAAAAAAAAGCTGATCAGGGTTTTTTTCTGAATCAATAAAAAATATGTTTGATCTTACAATTAATTGCAGGTCTTTAGATTTGTTTTTTTTTTTGATAAAAATTACTAGCAATTTGTATTGCACAGATCATTAATAAAGTCCCGTTAGCCTTTCGTGTTAAGCCAAATAAGCTTGTGTTACGAGGCTCACCACAATAGCCGAGCGGCGGTGGGATTCGAACCCGCGTTCCTCGGATCTCGAGTCGGCCAGTCAGACCCCTTCACCGTTCGGCTATCGTAGCTATTAAATTGGGATTTTAATACTCTTTTTAATCAAAATTTTTATTACAGCCATTTTTGCCAGTGAAGCATTTGGACAAAATAACAATAATGGGGACTTGGATGACCGATTTGGAAACCAGTTTGCGGCCCTGTTCCCTGGTATGGGTCAGCAACAGTTCCGACCAAACCAGTTCCCTGGTCAGAACCAGTTCTTCCCTGGACAGAACCAATTCCCTGGACAGAATCAATTCCCTGGACAGAATCAATTCCCTGGACAAAATCAGTTCCCTGGACAGAACCAGTTCCCTGGACAAAACCAGTTCCCTGGGCAGAACCAGTTCCCTGGTCAGAATCAGTTCCCTGGACAAAATCAGCCTTCCACCGTTCCTCCAACCGGGTAAGAAACACTCCTCTCTAATTTATAAACTCATATTTTGTTGCTAAGAGTTTAAAGCACTGGTGTGGTGCTGTAAATTCATAAATATTCAGTAGTGTGCCTTTTATACCTATTTTAATCCAGCCTTATTAATGTCAAGTTATGAGGATTCGTCCTCAGGAGGCTGCGACTTTTTTTAATTACAAGCTTTATATTGTTACAAGCTTTATATTGACTTCACTTGTTAGTATGTGTGGGACAAATCTCGCAACTGAAATTAAGACCAGCTATCCTCAACCGATTGAGCTGAAATTTGGTATACTTGTGTAAGTACGATGACAATGCAATGTTATGGTACCATTGAGCTGGTCTGATGATGGAGACAGGAGGTGGCCATAGGAACTCCTAAACGAAACGATTTGTATTTTCGAGCACTTTGGTGCTAAATAAATCACCAGGGCCCAGAGATTGAGATACTAAAAAGTGTAAAATAAAATTATAATAAAAAAACTTTTTTAAAAACAAGCTTTATTCTGAAATGCATTTGTACTACGAAAAAAATAATTGTATGCAAAGTTCAAAAAATTTCGAAAGCTTGTAGCGCAAACTGAAAAAAAGAGGAATAAAAAAAAGTTTTTTAACTTATTAAATCATGAGCATGTGACAAAGCTTTTCCTAGCAAGTGTAGGATTAATAAAAGACCTCATTACATCAGTAAGCTGCCACAGGTATAACTTGGCACATTAAGTAACTATTGTATCATGTAAAGTGCCCCATAAGGGCTACCTTCTCTTTTTTATTATTTAACATTTGCCACTTGTGGTCTAAACTTATTTTTGACTTTTTTGTTCGTCTTCCAGGAGCACCACCATGTCCAGCGCTGTCCAAGCCTGCATCTCCAGCTGCCCAGTGACCGCTGAATACAACCCAGTGTGCGGCACCGACATCATCCAGTACCCCAACCCCGGCAGGCTGGGCTGTGCGCAAGCGTGTGGCGTCAGTGAGTATCTTCTTCCTACAATAGGATACTAATGCCCGTTTTCACCATCAATCCCTAATTTTTAAGTGACCCCTATGGTCACATATAACAGGAACTTTGCTTTCAAACTCACTTAAAAATTAGGGATTGATGGTGAAAACGGGCATAAATACTCTATGTCTAAATAGTTGTCTAAAAACCCTGAATGTATAGGCCTACGGATGAGACCAGCTTTTACAGCTTATGTTTGCATGGGCGTACCTATGATGCTAGCTGCATGGTATGCCCAGGGTCCAGGGGCCTTATTATTTCGTTTTTACTTAAATATTTGATTTGCCCTCCTGGACTACACTGAATCTGGCCTGCTAGCACAAAAGCTGTCAACGGGCATAGCAATTATCAATGGAAATCCATTCATCTGTTCTCTAATACAACCTTTATAGGAAATTCCATGATATATTATTTTCTCATTTCCTGGTTTAGAAATTCAAACTCACTACCATTGGCTTTGTCTGTGGTTCGGTGCACGAATAGTTACTAGATGAAAGTCGAAGTCAGTATGTAAGAGTTCCATCGTTAAGCCGGATAACTTAAATCTCTTAACAATAACTTTGAAATAAAAGAAGTAATTTGCTGATCTTTGCTCGGTAATTTAAGGAACCAATTTCATCAAGTCTTAATTTTAATACGAATTAAATCTTGTAGCCCGGTTAAAATGAGGATATTGAAAAATTTATCTGGTTTAATAACCTTCAACATGCTAATTGACTACGAGCACACATGAGGAAAATATGAAATTAACTGTTTAACTTAAGTGGCAAACAATTTAACACCGTACTGTTACAGTGTATTTAATAATCAATTTAGTTATTACTAGCATTTATTAGCAGAATCTAATTCACGCTCGTCTGCTTAGTTTGCTTCATGTTGATGGGCTAATATTGGTTCAAAGTATGACTAATACTTAAACGCCGTATGAGGTTTATGGTATACAAACGACGGGACACTCCTAATACACATTGAGTACGCAAGTAACACACTATATATGTATTATAAAACAAGTGTTTATACTACGTTTTCACAGACTTACTTAGGCCCGATTCGACCTAACTTTTATCCGAGAATTACTCCTGGTATAAGTGCACATTGACAGTTTCAGTATGGGAAATATGTCAAAACTGACGATTAATAATTCTGAGAGTAATGTTTACTCTTGTTTGGTCGAATCCACCCATAGTAGTAAAATAAGTGTTATATAAATTTAAAATAATTTTATTTTATCTAACAAAAACAACTACTGTTTAGTAGAAAGAGAAATAACTATATCGAATTTTCGACTATACATAATGTAGAGCAAATGAGCAAATGATACCGTATGGTTAACTGTTTTTTTAAGTATTCATTATTATTATTTACAGATGTCAGCCTCCTAAGGCAAGGACCCTGCCCGGCCACCACCACTGCTGCCCCTCCCAGTTGAATAAACTTTCAGAATGACTAACAAAACTATTTTTATAAGTGTTCCAGTAAAAATCCTAGACAAAACTGTTGAATGAAGACCAGAATGAAGGTTGTGCCATAAATATTTGAAATAAAAATTTTACGATAAACTTGTTGTTTCCAGATTCCCTAAAGGTTTAATTTAGTCTAGCTAGAGTGATAGACTCGTTAAAAATGTCATAATGAGGAAAAGTTAAGGGCCTAAAGTATCTACTTATAAGGGCTCTCGTAGTCGCTGTTAGGTTTCGCCCATATTAAAGTACAAACAATATCGTTCGGAAAGCAAAAGGCTTTCCAATAAAGCCATATTTAATTTAGTCATAATAACGTTACTGCCACAGTTCTGTTGTGAATGGTTGGAAAATCCGGAAAAACGGCGTGAAAATATTTCTTTGCAGATACACTACGTCAGTAGGTAATTTAATGAATTGTCAAATAAATTGCCTTACTTAATAATTTATTTAATAACCAAGAAGATGACGATTTACAATATTGTACAATGTATTAATTACTTAAACTACGATTGACAATCGTGTTAATCTTAAGTATGTCCCTGCCAACTAAACTAGGATTAAACCTGTATCTTAGATGACAGTGATTCCTCCAGGGTGAAGAAAGTAATGTAAGTGAATGAAAGGAAGTATAAAGTAAGTTTNATAATTGCTTTGGATAATTGCATAATTGACTTTAGATAAAGTAAAATTACCCCAAAACTATTAAATTTCGGATTTTTTTAAAATATCACGTGAGATTAGGGGGTGGGGGAGGGGGTCAGGCAAAATCTCACCAAATCTCACCAAGGGGGGCGGGGGGGTTGAAAAATAGCCAAAATTGTCTCACGTAATTTATGGACGCCCCCTATAGGATTAGTAAAAGACCTCATTACATCATTTGCTACATCAGCTATAACTTGGCACATTAAGTAACTATTGTATTATGACCGTCTTCCAGGAGCACCACCATGTCCAGCGCTGTCCAAGCCTGCATCTCCAGCTGCCCAGTGACCGCTGAATACAACCCAGTGTGCGGCACCGACATCATCCAGTACCCCAACCCCGGCAGGCTGGGCTGTGCGCAAGCGTGTGGCGTCAGTGAGTATCTTATTCCTACATTAGGACACTAATGCTCGTTTTCGCCATCAATCCCTAATTTTTAAGTGACCCCTATGGTCACACATAACAGGAACTTTGCTTTCAAAGTCACTTAAAAATTAGGGATTGATGGTGAAAACTGGCATAAATCCTCTTTGTCTAAATAGTTGTCTAAAACCCTGAATGTATAGGACTACGGATGAGACCAGTTTTTATACATCATAAGTGTGCATGGGCGTACCGATGATGCCAGCTGCCTCCCCCTGGTAATGGTACGCCTAGATTCTAGGGACCTTATATTTAGTTTTTACTTAAAAGACAAATCAAATCCTCCTGAAACACACTGAGTGTAGACTAAAGCTGGCCTAGAAGCTGGGCAAGGCTATGGAAATTCCCAATGGATATTCATCTGTTCTCTTAATTCTACTTATTCATAGGAAATTCCATGAAATATTTTTTTCTCATTTCTTGGTTTGGAAATTCAAACTCACTACCATTGGTAATCCGGTACACGAATAGTTACTAGATGAAAGTCGAAGTCAGTTACGTAAGACTTCCATCGTTAAGCCGGATAACTTAAATCGTTTAACAATAACTTTAAAATAAAAGAAGTAATTTGCTGATATTTGCACCATTTGCTCGGTCATTTAAGGAACCATATTCATCAAGACTCTTAATTTTAATACGAATTAAATCTTGTAGCCCGGTTAAAATGAGGATATTGAAGAATTTATCTGGTTTAATAACCTTCAACATGCTAATTGACTACGAGCACACATGAGGAAAATATGAAATTAACTGTTTAACTTAAGTGGCAAACAATTTAACACCGTACTGTTACAGTGTATTTAATGATCAATTTAGTTATTACTAGCATTTATTAGCAGAATCTAATTCACGCTCGTCTGCTTAGTTTGCTTCATGTTGATGGGCTAATATTGGTTCAAAGTATGACTAATAATTAAACGCCGTATGAGGTTTATGGTATACAAACGACGGGACACTCCTAATACACATTGATTACGCAAGTAACCACAGACTATTAATTTATAAAACAAGTGTTATACTACGTTTTCACAGGCTTACTTAGGCCCGATTCGACCAAACTTTTATCCGAGAATTAGTCCTGGTATAAGTGCACATTGACAGTTTCAGTATGGGAAATATGTCAAAACAGACGATTAATTCTAAGATTAATGTTTACTCTTGTTTGGTCGAATCCACCCATAGTAGTAAAATAAATGTTCTATACATTTAAAATAATTTTATTTTATCTAATAAAAACAACTGCTGTTTAGAAATAGAAATAACTATATCGAATTTTCGACTATACATAATGTAGAGCAAATGATACCGTATGAGTAACGGTTTTCAGGAGATTTTTCCTGTTTAGCCTGGAGAATGTTAGATTGATTCTGTATATTTATTCTTAAAGAATAATTTTTTTATGTATTTATTATTATTATTTACAGATGTCAGCCTCCTAAGGCAAGGACCCTGCCCGGCCACCACCACTGCTGCCCCTCCCAGTTAAATAAACTTTCAGAATGACTATACAAAACTATTTTTATAAGTGTTCCAGTAAAAATCCTAGACAAAACTGTTGAATGAAGACCAGAAATGAAGGTTGTGCCATAAATATTAATTTTAAGATCAATTGAAATAAAAATTTTACGATAAACTGTTGTAATGTTGTTTCCAGATTCCCTAAAGGTTTAATTTAGTCTAGCTAGAGTGATAGACTCGTTAAAAATGTCATAATGAGGAAAAGTTAAGGGCCTAAAGTATCTACCTATAAGGGCTCTGGTAGTCGCTATTAGGTTTCGCCCATATTAAAGTACAAAAAAATCGTTCGGAAAGCAAAAGGCTTTCCAATAAATCCATAAACCCTAACCCATTTAATTTTGTCATATTCACTGTCATAGTTATGAATGGTTGGAAAATCCGGAAAAACGGCGTGAAAATATTTCTTTGTAGGTAGGTACACTACCGACGTCAGTAGGTAATTGAATGAATTGTCAAATAAATTGCCTTACAATGAAGTAGAGTTGGTTGGATTACCGTTAATTAGGTAATTAACTGATCGTTTAATTTGGTACTTTAACGTGCAACAACAACAATTGTAATTATTAAACGAATAAATTAGATTTTCTATTGTAATTACTTATTAACTTAATTTTTAGGTACCTACATTATAATGTAACATTAGAATTATATAAATTCAACATTTTGAAATCATTTTCCGATACGTAGCTCACTTGAATGTATGAGTAGGTCACACAATAAGTTCTAGTAGGTACTAGGTTGTCTAGGTGTTGAGATAAGCTGTGAAACAAAAAAATGTTAGTGGACAAAAACCTAAATTGATTTTCTATGTATCCTACTTTCTTTAACTATTTTGATGGTGGCAGCACTGGCGGCGCTATGCGTCACATGTGGGTGAAAAGCGTTCTGTCTTCGTTCCGCCGACCTGTTAATATTTAATTTCCTCAGAGGGCCTTCCCCTGAGTTGAGTCTAGGACGTTGACCGGCTCCGCAGGTCGTGGTCTGGTTCGCAATGACTCATAGAACATAATTGATCTAGCTGACTAGGTAATTCTAGGATTCTAGGAATGTAGACGGAAATTGAAAAAACTACCACAAAAAAGTCTGTTATATGCACAATAATACACATAGGTGAACCCTAATAACGTCATAATAATGGTAGCAGGAGGGTGCTGGATGCAGGCCGCTACCAACCGAACCGACCAATCTGGAAATCGTTGGGGGAGGCCTATGTTAAGCAGTGGACGTCCTGTGACTGAAATGACGAAACTATTTGAAGTCAGTTTCTGTAACGAACAATCAACGTGAGCCAAGATCCGGGAAATCTAAGAGGTATTATGGAAAACCTATAACCATACCTCTATATTAATTATCAGTAATTTATAAAAACGCTATAGGAAACGTATAGTAGTTTGGAAAGCCCAACAACAAAGTGGAAATAAAATCGCCTGAGCAAGGTTTCACAGACGTTCCATTGCCAGACAAAGGTTAAACCAATATGGTAGGCGTTGGGGAAATCCTTTGCGCCACAATTGTATGGTTCAAGGCGGACAAACGAAGAGAGGCCAACCTTGTGATTTAGTTTAAATAACGTACGCAGATCAAGAATTTTGAAGTGTTAATCTAGAACAGCAAATAATTAAGGTAAATATATCTTCATGGTTTGCTGCGGGTATTTTATAGAAAAATATGAGAAACGTATTAATTTGTGTGCAGCTACCTATGTTTCTCATTGATGTTTAGATTTGTCCGTTTGACCTCAGTATTAATAAAGTATTAATAATTGTGATTGCAAGTTACGAGGCAGGCATTCCAAGTAACATTCAGAACATTCCAAATAACATTTTAATACTCGGTATTGCAGCGACATAACCATTTCATTGGGGAATCAAGAAACTTTTCAAGTCGGTAAAGGTAAATAACTTATTGTTTCTTTATTTTTAACAAGTTCACTGACAACTTGTTCTTCGCATCGCTGATTACTTCGTGGTACAGGACTTACGAGTATTGGTGTAATTGCGTTTTTAGTAGACTGCCAATGAAGTAAACAAAAACGGCATCTATTTCAAAGTATGTAAACCTTATTGTAGTTCAAAGCTAGACCACTATTTAAACTCGGATTGGTCACTTTTTATTACGTTATAATATGATCATAAACGTAGGTAAGAATCCTTAAGGCTTTAAACTGGTCTCTTGTGGATCTGATCCAGTTTGTTTGCCTACAATGAAGCTATTTAAGAACTAGAAAAGCCTGCGTATTCTCATTTGTGATACATATTTTGAGTACCTACATAAAGTTTGTATAACGTAAAGCTTCAAAAGTTACAGGTAGTCATATTATGCTAATTTTATTGTCCTTTGTGTTCGTGAAACTCATAACACCAATTAGGAGCAAACGTATTATGCTACATCGATAACTGTTTCTTTCCAACCACATTTAAAGTTAATAATCTAAACAATTTAAAGGTTATTAACGAAAAATATTACTAAATCTTCTGAGTAAGATAAAAACGGGTTTCCGAAGCCGCAAGATGAGGGGGGATTTTATTAACTATAATGTAACTTTATCCGCAGAAAGATTCAATGACCATTTCAAGTCGTGGAGTTGCCTCGGACGGACGAGGATATAACTTATAAAAACTCGTGAAAGGGTCAAAAGTGTTTGAACCTTCGCCATGTTGCCCAAAATTGGAATTCTTTTAGGTAAGCTCTTTGACTCTTTTAAAAATCTTATCACTTTTTATTGAGGAAAATTCTATTTCAATTAAGTAGTTAACATGCGAGTAAAAACTAGTAAATATGTGGTAAAACCTTTTTGTACGAGTAGGTAATTGGTACATAAGTATTTTTCTCAATGATGTTTATTATTAGAATGGGTACGTATATGATAGATCTTCTGTGGTTCTCTAATACGATTGTAATAAACTTTTTAGTTGCCATAGCGGCATTGGGAACAATTCCGGGACGAGTGCGGGGTCACTGGCATCACGGGCCTCATCACAACTACGGCCCACCACATCACGATTATCATGGACCGCCACATCACGGTCCACCAGGACCGCACCACGGACCGCCAGGGCCCCACCACGGACCGCCAGGGCCCCACCACGGACCACCGGGACCGCACCACCACCCTTGGGAACGCGATTCTGACGAGTCACCCGAATGGAGTGGCTCCGATTCTGAAATCTCTGGCAGCTGGGAATCGCCTTGTCATCATGAACATTCAAGGTAGGTTTTACTCTATTTTTGTCATGGTATCCAGAGTATTTATTGCATTTGAAGTCTTATTCATACAAGTACAAGATTCTAATAGAAAACAAGCATTTGATTAACTTAATTGCACGAAACTAAGTTACATAAAATATTTATTGTTTTGATGACAAATTCGCTTGAAAAACATGAAACAATAACACGCAATTGATATAGACGCTTATGACTCAATTAAAACATTTTAAGAACGCAAAATTATAGTTATAGTAAGTAATTAATTTAATGAAGCATGAAGATGAAGTACTTATATGTATATGCCAAGTTACCTACTTGTAGAACTTGACCTTTAGTAAAACCCAACTAGTAATGGATGGCTGCCCAGAGGAAACGGTCTTGGGACATTACAATAATTTATGAAATTTAAATATTGTAGTATTGTATGTGTGTCAATTTATACAAACCTACTTGTAATAATAAACATTTACTTTAAGCCCATTGATAGTAACTAATAATATTTTTAATTTCAGACCGCCAAAGCCCACCCCACCACCGAGGCCTCCCAACCCTGGACCCAATCCAAATCCTTTCCCACAACCAACTCCTCAACCATTCCCTAAGCCAACTTTTAATCCGAATCCATTCCCGCAACCAACTCCTGTGCCTTTCCCAGGACCTAACCCTAATCCAAACCCTTTCCCGCAACCAACTCCTGTGCCTTTCCCAGGACCTAACCCTAATCCGACTCCTTTCCCGCAACCAACTCCTGTGCCTTTCCCAGGACCTAACCCTAATCCGACCCCTTTCCCGCAACCAACTCCTGTGCCTTTCCCAGGACCTAACCCTAATCCGACCCCTTTCCCGCAACCAACTCCTGTGCCTTTCCCAGGACCTAACCCTAATCCAGATCCTTTCCCTAAGCCTACTCCTGTACCTTTCCCGCCGCCCACGCCAACGCCGTTCCCTCAACCTACTACTGAGTCTTTTACAAAGTCTACAGTTACGCCAGTACCCGATCTCCATGCCTGTATGCTTACCTGTCCTGTGACACAAGAGTTAAACCCAGTCTGTGGCTCTAACGGTGAGGAGTATCAAAACCCTGGAAAATTGAATTGCGCCAAATATTGTGGAGTCAGTGAGTGTAATTTTTTTACTGAGATTTATTGCCCACAGGGGGAATGCATGCGTATTGTATTACTTACTTGCTTGTTACTTTTTCCAAAATACCAATGGTGCGTAACAAGAGTTTGTTTTTTGCAGATGTGGAGCTCGCCAGATATGGTAAATGTCCTACAAACGAAGGGAAAACTTTGAGGCCTCCTCCTCCCCGACCCGAAAGAGATGTCCAAGCATGCATGAGAAGCTGTCCCGTGACGTCAGAGTACAACCCAGTCTGTGGATCTAATGGCTTGGAGTACTCCAACCCTGGCCGGTTGAACTGCGCCAAGATGTGTGGAGTCAGTAAGTACCATTTTTTTATGGGATTCATTGCATGCATATTTAAGTAAGATATCCTTACTTAGTTGAAAATTTTTCCAAAATGCCAGCGATGCTTAATCAGAGTTTGTGTTTTGCAGATGTGGACCTCGTCAGAAGAGGCAGATGCCCCACAAACGATGGGAGTACTGTGAGCCCGCCTACTCCCCGACCTGACAGGGATGTCCAAGCGTGCATGAGAAGCTGTCCCGTGACGTCAGAGTACAACCCAGTCTGCGGCTCTAACGGCTTGGAGTATTCCAACCCAGGACGGTTGAACTGCGCCAAGATGTGTGGAGTCAGTGAGTATCATGCGATTTCAGCCAGTAAAACAGTGAAATTCGTCTAAATTGTTCTGCGGCACTGGTGGAAAATGTAGGTACTACCAGTACTACGAGTAGATCTTAACGTAACATATAGGTATATGTAGCTCTGTATTCCTATGAATGTAACAGCAAATTAAAATTTTCCTTAGTAAATTATATTGACAACTTATAAGATACATAAAAAGCAGTGACTTAAGTACTGCCTATTCAACAATCTTCACCGATCACGGTATAATCACAGATATGACGTAGGACTTTAATAGTATAAGTTCAATATTGAAACATGAACATGCAAAATATTGTGATATTAGCGTACGTATAGGTACCTAATGCACCATAGAGGNCACAATAGATCGGTACCGGTCGTAGTGATACTAGGACTTTATTGAACTAGAACTAGAACAGCCGCTCAACGCAATAAAAAAAATAGTTCTTCTGCGTTCGAAACACAAATTAGTACAGTATAGGAGAGGAATAAATTGCAAATAGTTGGTACAGTATCAGTATCGGCGCGCCGACAGCTGGTTGTCGGCGGCGGCGGCGTGGAAAAATTCGCGGCGGCGGCGGCGCGCCGGCGTGGCGCCCACCTCTAATGCACCAATACAGACATAAGGCAGTTTTGTTACATACTTGGAAAATACAAGTGTCTATTGACGATTTAGTCACCTCTACTATTTAAGGAAGTGAGCTTAGCTCATCATAAGTAACATTTATTTATAATACAAATACATATTAAAGTCGCGAAAAGTTTTTCACCAAATCATCTACGAGTATTTACTTCATTATTTACTTCTTGTTTAAAAAAATGAGTGGCATATTTAAACAATTTATTCTCGCATAGTAGTCGTTAAATTATTAAAGCGAGTAACCTGCCACCCAGTATAAAGGCTTACAAAAGACCTTCTTAAGAGGATCTTTGTTTTGAAGGAAAAACAATATGCCTCTATCGTCATCGGAATATCTTTTGATGTTAATTTCATCTCATCCCAGGATTTTAATAGTTGATCCACAAAGTATGTTGTAAGGTTCCTATGTAATACACCGATTGTTCTTCACTTCACTCATAAAATTACCATTTGAAACCGCAACTGAAGCTAAAGGTACATGAACTACCAAGCCAAGCACCCTAATGATTTCCCCTCTTTTTGCAGACGTAGAATTACTCAGAAGGGGTAGATGCCCGCCGCCAGAGCCCACTTCGAATCCGATCACCAACCCTACTCCCCCTGTGACTGTGACGGAGAGCCGAGAGCCGGAGACACGGCCCACGCCACCAACGATTCCCCCCACCAAACCGACCACTCCTGGAGTAACCTTTACCATTGACAAAGATTTGCTGGACCAAATCTTCAGCACTACCGAAGAAACGGGTCCAGATCTAACAGGCCTGATAGACGAAAGACATCAGGATGACTGATAGATTGGTGATCTTGCTCTCTTTCATCTAGAATAGTCTGATTTTGTAGAACATTTAAGTACGCTTCTAAAAGCGCCACTTAAGTGAATAGCCCACTAGCAATGAAGTCTATCGAAATAAAAGTAATAAAGTTAATATAATTATAATGTGATAAATACACGCAACTACATAGTAATAGTAAAAGCTCTGTGAAATGAAAAAGAAGAAGTAGTTTATCATACATATAAATTATAACATGAATTACTCACGATGGTCAATAAGTAATAATGAAACAATCGTTATAATTAATAGAATTCCTTAATGTGGTGCTTTTAGAGCCCTTAATAAATTAATTAACTGCAATCAATTTTCAAATTTATTCATAAGATAGGAAAATTAGTAAAATGTCATTACCTAATTAATCACCCCTTATTATTAATTATTATTTGAGGATAATTGCACAAAATTTGTATAAATTTAGAAGCTTTGACTGACTACTTTTATTATACTTAGGACTTAGTTGTAGTGAACTCTCTGAATTATAATCTTTTGTATCATTAAACTTTTAAAAATGTGGTGCTTTGGTTTAAATTGTGGCAGAGACCTCTCTTTGGTGCTTTTTTATATTATTATTGAGTTTGCAGCGGCCAATCCAAGTTGTGAGTATACTTTTATTCTACTTTACTACAGTCTACTACACCAGCCCGACGCGACACGATTTACTTTTATCGTGCCAATATAACGATTTAAGACTTCTAAGTTATTTTTATTTAAATTTTGTTTATTTTTTAGCATCCAGGATAGAATGCGATGAATTAAAACCAGAATGCTTAAAACAAACCCTACAAAAGGCTGTACCAAATTTCTTGAAGGGTAGGCCTGAGGTAGGCGTGGAAGTACTGGATCCATTTTACATCGATAAACTGGAAATGACTCTAGCTGGAGGGCTCAAAATCAAGTTTACCAATGGTCATGCTAAAGGCCTTAGGAAATGTATCGTTGAGAAAGCAAGGTAATTAAAACTTTTGATTTTTAAACTCTCTTTGCTTTTCAGTCTGAACTCTGAAGGAACATGGGTTCTCCAGATTCAGTTCCCTATTCTTAAAATGTTTGTGTTGGTCTTTGTAGAGTCTAACAGACACGTGTTTTAAAGAAATTCTGCCCATAACTTTGCTCTAGCAATTCGAGTTTATTCTTAATCACGAGAGGATTTTTTTTTCAATTGCCATATTATGTATAAAGATGTGTGTTCGACTAGGTATTTTATTTATCGACTTTATCTTTCCAGAGTCATGCATGACGTAATAGAAACACAATTTCTCTGTAATCTCACGGTCAAAGGAAAGTACAAGTCAAGTGGAAGATTGTTGATGTTCCCCATCAACGGAGACGGTGATGCAGCTATCAGATGCAGTATGTAGTTATTATGCAATTAGTATTTTTGTACACCTAATTCATACGACTTTATTTCTTGCGAAATCCAGAAAAGCATTCTCAGGAGTATTAATAGAAATTTCAGAAAATTTCGAGGTACAAGTTACATTTAAATGGGAAAAATTAATGATTTCAGGATTTATACTATCTAGCCCGTGTTTCAATTTCTCCTATAAGTAGATATTAATTATAGTAGTTTACATGAATAAATGTTATACTGTAATAATTTTAAATAATGATTTATTCAATTTCAGAAAACCTTAGAGTTAATCTAACCCTACAGCTGAGATCGATCAAGGGATCAGGGGATACCTATTTAGAAATTGTGAACTCGCAAAGCAAACATAGCTACGAGGGCCAAATTCAGTACAATTTGACTAATTTAATCAAAGGCAGTCCTGAAACGAGTAAGTAAAAGCTACCTACTTAATTTAGGCTGAGTTTCACCATCTTACTTTAACATTGACAAACGTCAAAAATCTGTCAAACTCCATACAAATAGCACCGGTTAATATTATTGTTACGGTTAAAATATCGTGGCGCAACTCAGCCTTAGAGTGCTTAAGTTAAATTACGCTTATTGCCTCCATCAAGTGCAATTACATACGCAACTTACTAAATTATATACTTAAGAGAATGATTCATAAGATTAATGTTTCTTCCTTTCTAGTAAATTAACACTTTCTTTATGTAATTGATTATTTTTAACGACATAGTGATAATTTATTAAATGAAATACAACTTTGGCCTTACTGGTTTGACGTAATATATCACGTTTGATTAGTTGATGGTTAATGGATTTCACTACAGAAAACAAACCACAAACTCATATCGTGCTCTTTATTTTTGTTTACAGGTAAAACTCTGTTAAACTTTATGAACCAGAATTGGCATATGGTAGCCCAGGAGTTCGGAGATCCTCTTGTGGATTTTGGAGTAAAGGTCATTCTTAGGAACATAAAGAAGTTGATCAGCGCTGTACCCATGAATCAACTGTTTACGACGTGGGAACCAGTTCCAGCATAATGTTGTTTGGTACTTACGAGGATGATATTACGTCGATGACTCTGTTACAATGAGATTAATGATTCGATTACACGGCACATTGATAGTTTTGTAATTGTAAATAGTTATTATTTATAAAAATATTGTAATTTATTCGCACTTATGGAAAAACTAATACACTTAGTAGGTGCGAGTGTTGCTAATGTTAGTTTGGTTTTAGTTGGAATCAATAAAACAATCCACTTTGCATTTGATGTTTTTTATTACTTTAATTTCACAATCAAATTGACATTCATTTGTTTTTCACAAGGTTAAAGTTAAGAAAACATCGATAAAAAAATAAGTGCATCTGGTACTCCTACCATATCTACCATATATTCTAAAATTCATAGTGTGCAAGTCTTCTTGTGACTAAAATAATTTATATTAAAAGTTTGTAGACGATTTCATTCGTTGTGCTGTGTACATTAACATCGACACGTGAAAACCCTTACTACTCACGCATAAAATCTTAAACAAAGTGAGAAATCTGGATTATTACAATAAGGTATGTGGTAGCCACACTTATATATTTAAGCATTAATGTGATGTCCACTGAAAACATATCGTAAATGAAAATACGCAGGGGCCACGCGTCTACCAGCTCCATAAACGCCTTCGCCTGCACCCTCATAGTCTTAGGCAGGTCGTAGTCCATTATGATCTTATTAATTAAAATCTTAGTCTTCGTTCTTGCCAGCAGTAGCTGCTCACAAGTCATCGACATAAAAGCAATCAAGCAAACGGCTGTAATACACCACAATATTATAGTAACCAGTGCCATAGAGTTGTTTCCATTTTTGTAGTAATATAATGCAGACCAAATTGTTATGACAACGTAAGTAAACGTAGAACCTAGAGTCATGAAAATCTGAAAATTGAATACTTCGTTGACAAGAGTACAAAGTTCGCCAATGATGTCGTAGGTCACTGCCAAGTCTCTAATCTTGGTGTTGTCGCCCGACGAGCGGCCGATCAAGTTAAATTCTTCTGGTCCGTCTTTCTTCTCTCCTACGATAAATATGGGCGAAGACTTGATACCATCGTTTTCATCGATGAATTTGGCCAAATAGTTGTTTATGATGTGAAGTCGTCGAGTTAACATCATGATAAGCAAGCAGAATACACTTATTTCAAGAGATTGCTCGAGGTAAATAGGCAAAACAACAATTTTACTCATATCTATATTATCCCCATCGGTGGCTAAGTCGATAATAGTAACAATGACGTGTATAACAAGAACCATCAGTATTACCTTTAAGTTCATTTTTCTTGATTTTTTGTAGAAGTTCTTATTAGTATCAACATGCAACTTAGTGTCGAGATCCACCACTGTAGTCAGGATGCGCATATTTTTTTCATTGCAAAAAATTGACGTTCTAATAGCGGATATTACATATTGTATCAATATCACCACAGATGGTACTTCCTCTAACATATCCACAAGCTTGGCAGTCCCAATCATGGCTGATGATATTCTAAGAAATGCAGAGAATAAAGTAATATATAAAAACGTCAGAAAAATGCAACAGAACTTCATCTTCTTATTGATTGGAAGCAACCTGTTATTATGTACATTGAACCTAAATATTCCAAACAAATTTTCAACTAGCAACGCTGGTTTGTTTGTGTTTAGGATTTCTATAACTTTCATTTGATCATTTTTTTCAGACGATTGGCTTTGTGGTACTTTAGATTCCATCTCTTAAAATATTTTTATGGATCGCAATGTATCGTAATTGCCACCTCTTCGACACTTAGTTAGAGACTGTGTCATGAGCACCGTTAATTGTTTTCTTTTATACTTGCATGTCAATTTAATAAATGAAACCATCAGGGTGATTAATTTTGGTGTTATTGTATAACTTTAGTGTGGGGTGGCTCTTCGTTATACCTAATATTTTTTGAATCTTCAACCTAAATAAAATGCGAGATTTGTATTATTACAATCAAATATGTAGTGGACACGCTTATGTATTTAAGCATTAACGTGATATCAACTGAAAACATGTCGTAAATAAAAATTCGCAACGGCCATGCTTCAATTAACTCCATAAAAGCTTTCGCTTGAACCCTCATGGTCTTTGGCAAATCGTAGTCCATGATGATCTTATTTATCAACACCTTTGTCTCAGTTCTTGCCAGGAGTAACTTCTCACAAGTCATTGACATAAATGCAATTAAGCAGAATTCTGTGAAACACCAAATGATGATTGTGGCCAGCTCGCCTGTGTTCTCTCCTGAAGAACTACGGTAATAATCCAAACCAGTCCAAATTGTGATGACGACGTAAGTGAAAGTAGCAACTAGAGTCATAAATATCTGGAAATTAAAAACCTCGTTGACAAGGGCACAGGTTTCGCCAATAATGTCGTAGGCCGCTGCCAAGTCTCTTATCTTCGTATTATCGGACGACGAGCGGCCGATCAAGTTGAACTCCTCCGGGACCTCCTTTTTTTCTTTCACGATAAATACCGAAGCTTTGTTAGTGTCTTTTTCGTTAATGAACTTCAACAAGTAATTATTAATGATGCTGAGTCTACGCGTCAACATCATAACCATCAAACAGAAGACGCTTATTTCAAGAGACTGCTCCAGATAAATAGGTAATATGACAAGTTTACCTATTTTCATTCTAAAATTAGAATTATCGGCAAACAGGTCACTTATACTGACAATAAAATGTACGAGATGAAGTATGATCACGATTTTAAGGGTAACCCTTTTGGACTTTCTGTAGAAATCTTGGTTGGTATTTATGTGCAATTTAGAATCGAGGTCTGCGAGGGTTGATATGATGCGGATGTTTCCTTCGTTAAAAAATAGCGACGTCCTGATTGCAGAAATGACATATTGGATCAATATCACTATGGACGGCACTTTATCAATCTTCACTAAATAGCCCGTGGCCACGTCCGATGGTATTATATTGAATACCGAAAACAATACGACGACGGTAATCATCAATACTATGCAAAATATTTTCACTTTCTTGTTGATTGGGGCCAATTGATTATCGTGTTGGCGAAACCTGAATATTCCAAATCCGTACTCAATACGCATAGCAAGTCGAATGGTGTTAGCAAGTTCTATGATTTTGTTATTCTTTTTATCAGTTACCTCAGCCTCTTCAGTTGAAGGTTGACGAGAAAGGCGCGTTGCTTCCATTTTGACAGTTTTCAGCAAATTGATATGCGAAGTATTATATTTAATATGTTCACATGAGCAATTGTCAGCTCTACCACAGTTAAGTCGAAACTGTAAACCTATCGATATATAAACTACTTTTAATCCAGTATCTATTTATCAAACGCATTACGATAATTAAGTTGCTTTTCAAAATACTCATTGCCATACTAAGTGTATTGCTTCGTTGTTTTATTTATAAGCTTAGAAAACAAACACAAGCTTACTTATTATGGATTAAATACTCAGCAATCGCCCGCGGGTTTGAATGAGCTGGATTAAATTTTCACAAAATTTAACACCCATTTGACCTATTTAATAAAATACATTGTAAGACAGTTTAGAAACTTCTAACTTCAACTTCTAACTTGATTAATTGCTTTTTTGTATTAAATGTTTTCATTACATTTTTCTTTCTTTCTCTACGTTAGCCACAATAAGCTTTTACCTTAATGGTTATTTACAACCCGTAGTTATAAGTACAATAGAAGAAGAAGACTGTTAATGTTATTAGACAACTTGCCCAGGCATTGGTAAATTACCTACTCTATTTTTCATAGTTATCGAAACATTGTCAACCAAAGAAAACAGGGTGTGAAAAGTTCCGTAACCATTGACAGGTAACTAAGTTACTCTACAAAAAAGCTCATTTTGTAAAAATATGTTGAATCCTGAATTTACTCGTACTTTTCCAAGTGTGTCTTGTCACTTAAATTGAGTCTTCCTCCAAACCTCAAATTGGATATTAGTTAGATTAACTACTTACTATTTAAATTACTATTTTTACGGAACCAGTCAATCAATCATCATTGATTGACTGGTTCCGTAAAAATAGTAAGCACATCCAACTAATAAGTTACGTTACTACGAGTAGTTCAAAGATAAAAGTTGTCCACAAAGTTTTCAATCGATTGAACTATTCCATGTTTCACGAGTGAAACCGAATCTTTGTGGATTGCGGATCAGTTGGCGAATGCGAACTGTCACGGGCCCAGCTGAGCGGACCTGCGCCCGCTGTATCGACCGCCAAAGCGGTAGGCACGAGATTAAACTGTTATCGATGAACTGGATTTCAGCTGCCAATTTATGTCGATGTCTCTGACTTTCATTTAATACTCGTAACAGCAGAGATGTTCTGGGTCGTTAGTTTCAATTTATGGAACTAAGAAAAATATTCAACATAACGAGATGTCTGGAAGAAGTCTTTAGCAACATCTTTAATTTTTTTTTATCGAAAACGACCTAACCAAATGAAAGTAAGTCTTTATTATTATGAGTACCTGGTCTCACTGAGGACACTGTTCACCAACCAGGTGAAGCAGCTACCAACCAGGTCATATCACAAAGTAATAATTATATTGCAATCGTGTGAAAACGGTTGCGGCTTCATGATTCTATGAGACTGCCAGAATTTTCTTGTGACAGCAATTTATCTGAGTTCATCTCTTCGAATATTCATGTTCTGAATTGATTTATTTCAAATGGCAAAATGTCGATAGTCTCCCCAACCCCACCGTCTAGGGTTGAAGGAATCGCACAGGAGCCAACGCGGCGCGGCATCGCGGCAGTGGACGCGCGACACACGCGCGGGCGGCTGCTCCACGCGGCCCACGCCGCACCCTTGCCGACCCGCGCCTGCCTCGTGCTTCGGCCGAAGTCGGAAAATCACTGGTAAGCGAGCTAATAAACATACAAGAACAGAGAATAGATAACTCGCTCCACCTCCCGTCTATAATCTCAGTCAGTAACGCCGCATTCGTTCATGCTCTCATTCGAAATTTATCAATGAAACCGATTTATGTGTCCCGCTGACGAGTATGTTTTTAAATTGGGATGCATACTCGTAATATCTAAATTTCTTTTGGATTCAAATATAAGAACGCTACATTTAGTCATGAATCGCCAAGAAGACACCATGATTGTGTTATATCACATCGTTACCACGTACCTAAATAGTTAATTGCAACAGTTTTGATTCACTCGTGCTGTATCTCATTGTAAAAAATAGAGGATGGGAACCTAGTGACGACTTCATTCTGATAAAAATATAATTTATAATTTTATCACCAGCTCCCTGACTATTACCACGTCAGAGAACGACAGAGTAACATCATGGGACAGACTGCTGGCGCGGAGTGCAGCCCCGATGATGATGAAGAGCCTCGCATACGCGTTAACCCCACTGAGCAATCGCTGGTAAGTCAAGAGCATGTTCAAAAATGATTTTCCAGCATTCCACTACGTCAAAATGAACATCGCAACTTCGATTAATACGTCATCTAACCTCGTCTTCGAATTTTTATGTATTCGTACCCCTACCACCACATTGCGTAGGTGTTCTGATTACGTTCGTTTTCTGTAGGCGCCATTGACTGAGCCTAGTTAGGCCTGGTTTTTCTCTTTTCAAATTTTAATTATGATGGTCGTACTCGTTTCTGACTTATTTTATGCAATTTTTTTTGTTTCTTCCGCTTTATTCGTGGTAAACAACCTATTGTAGAACGCCTGTAATTTTTCTTCTTTTGCTTGGACCTGGGGAGCAGAATATACATCCGGTTTTGTATGATCTATTAATAAAAACTTCCTTAATTTTCAGTGCTTTTTCAGCACTTTTATGTCTTAAAATTGAGGGTCCAAGGACAGCATACCTACACAAAATTGGCAATATTTTTTCAAACAGAAATTACAATGCTCAAAATTTTGGGTCTCAGCCTCAGCTTGTCGAACCAACTAAATGTTTTAATCTGCTGACACTTTGGTTGATGGTGTTATTATTTCTACAGTCTACCGTCACAGTTTCAAATTCCAAAGCTTTGTACACTCGGCATCAAATAAATCTCACCTCCCGCAACAAGCACTTCTCAAACGTAGTATGCATCCCCACTTCCCACCAACAATGGGTCCATTTGAAAGCCTAGTCCTAAACTTCATTTCATTAAGGGAAAGGTTTTTACCAAAATGTGTTTTTAGAAGGATCCAGAGTCATTTCTTCAAAAAATAGGTATAGTTATCTTACGCTTGAGCCAACTTTTATGGCTATAAAACTGTAAAATTGGGATTAATCGCTATCCATCTGTTACAAAGGACACCTAAGATCATTATTAGGTTTTATAATCACAAAAATTGGTCTATTGATTCCAGAGGTGAGCCCCAAGTGAGGTCTTTTTTCAAGTCACATCTAAGGTACCTGTTAATTGTATAAAAAAAAAATATGTTTTTGTTTAAGATTATTTATTGGGATTTCAAATAACACCAATATTGTTGGGGCGCCATGATTGTGTCAGAAGAAAATCTTTAAAGTTCGTGTCGCGGAAGGTGTGATTTATTTGATGTTGAGTATAGGTTTGTTACATAATTCTATCGAAGTCTCAACCAAAATAAAAAATAAAGGCTTTATTAATCTAATAGTAACAGAATTAAATTAATGGAGGGCAATGTCGCATTTAACGTTTTAATATTTTATTAAAACATAGAAACATAAAACATATATTTTAGAAAATTATAACGAAATAATACATACATGAACTGGTGAAATAATGTGCAGACAATTTTAGTCCAATAGTTCCACCACTCTACCAGTTCCACATTAAAATTTTCGCGCCGAATGAATACGCTTGGCGCGTAAATTAATTTCAGACTTATTTGACAGTTATCCGTCTGACAGCGTGAGAAGCGGTTCGTTCGCTCGCGTGCGGCTGTGAGTGAAACGAAACGTCACAAGCCTGTGCGAGAATCATCTGTCAATTATTTCATTTGTTTTATTTTAAAAAATGGGTCCAAAATTAATATTAATTGTTAACTAAATCAGTAACTTTTGTATTTTTGTATTATTATAAACATTGGGTGGAAACAGAGATTTACGGTAATTACGGGATTGTGTAATTGCTAATATTGCTGTCAAAATTAACTTTTGTTTTTGTTAGCAAAATAGACCGTGGTGTGTCGAATAGTTGCCCTGTTTATTTTCCACTTGAACTTGATGTGATTACAAAACGTTCTGTGCCAGCCAGCCAGTTAGGTGGTGACTAAACAATCTATTTTCTCTTGTTACTGTGACTGTAGTGAAAAACAAGATGTCCAAAGTATCCCTGAACAACGTTCCTTCAAACCCACGAATCAACCGCTTGAGAACATTCTCTAGGGTAAGTTTACTCATTATTATTCAGCTAGGTTATGTTTAGTAAAATTGGGAGTTGGCAAATTGAATCTTATGCACCTGTAGATTAGAGTATCTCTATTTATTTATTTGAGGACCATTCCTATTTTCTTCTTTCAATGTGTTTGTGTCCATTCTATGTAAATCAGCTGGTATTGTCACTATCATTTCCAGCTATGATCAGAACCAACGTGAGTGGTTATGACTGAAAAGATACATATTTCAGCCAGTACCATTTACCTACTACTTTGAAGTGATCGTTTCATTTTAAATTAATTAACCAAAATAACAACAATTTAGAATACAGAACATTTTAAAAGAATTTCAGATAAATATTTCTGACAGATGATAGCAATTCCTTTGTACTTTGAATTTTCTTTTATTTTACTTTAGCAAATATCTAATGATGCTTAGGATAGGAATTATGATGAACCAGACTACTATCTCCATTTTCTAAAATTTAATCTTTGAAGAAATAGAGAATTATTAAAAATTTTCCTTTATTGAACTAAATTATTGTGAATATGCAAGTAATCATTAATATTCGAATGCTTAGAAACTACTTACACAGTGTAAGCCGGCTTATTAAGACTTATAATAGTATCGTCTAATTTGGTACGTTGCATTTTTTGCATTGAGGCTAATTGTCATGTCATCATTATCCATGTTAAATGAGGATGTGACATCGTTTTGGGTCCAGTTAAGTCCGTAGCGAACTAGTTTGTCCTGGATATGTAGTGACGAAGGGCAATTAAAAAAATGAAGGTATTGGTGAGGCCCTACCGTTAGTTTGGTACACTGCACCAACAAGATCAGAAGTTTGTTTGCATTTTGAATGGTGTGGTCATGTTTGTAAGTCTTGAATTTTGTTAATTTAATAATTTTTTATGTTTTTATTATAATGTTAATTAAGATACTATGTCATAAATTTCTTGGAAAAATAATTCAACCCTATTATTGTTGTTATTGCGTCAACAGCACATTGTTGACATTTAAAATAGTAGAGCAGAGGAACCCCGGACAATTCCTTGTAAAATAGTGTCAAATTATGTTAGTGTTCATTTGTGGGTTCTATACACTAATGATGAAGATATTTAGATTTATTCAGATTTAGTCTTCATTAGAAAAAAATATTCATTTTACATAGTAAAAAGTTATTTTTCCAGTTACTATTATTACCCCAATATGTATCATATAATTCCTATATTGCTTATTCACACAACATAATGCTTTAGCAATCTAACTACATCTTGGTGACATTTTTCTGGTAGGTAGGATATCCATCCATGAACAAATTTTTAATAAAATTGTCTCATGATAAATTGGATTGACCAACAGTCTCATGGAATCCTAATAATATCTACTAATGCATGTTTTTAAGTGTTATTGACTGCTGCCAATTCTTGAGTTTTAAATACCATGTCACATGGAACTAAATATCACAGTTTTTTCACACAGAAACTATAATAATTATATTCTTATACAAATGAGTTTAGCTGCTGCTGCTTACACTATGATAAAGAATCTATTTGTAATTCGTTTTAATTAAACTATGTTGTTAAGTACCCCAAATTTTGCTTTTTCTTTTCGAATTAAAAGTTTTTTTCTATACTCCTCAATGTACTTATTTGACTTCTCGAAATAACGACAAATGACAACAAAGAAAAAATAAATTTAATAAAAGTGACAAAATTTTAATTTTTCGGGAATCTACTCCACTACTTTTCAACTTTATAGTGTAAGTACTGTTTTTGTTCCTGTACCTATCTGTTATTTACTCTGGTCGTGATAATATCACAGAAACGATACGAAGGGCCTGCCTTTGACAATGACTGTCCTGGACAAGGCTATACGGAAACCTTCGTGGAGGACTGACATTCAAGGTTTCTAAAGTAGACGATAAATTATTGCTTTACTGTGAACCTTATTTCAAAGCGATAAGGCTACATCAGCAAGGATACGTTTTCATAACCTCGGTTAGGGAGTAAACACGTAGAGAATTTCATTTATTTATTAAAACCATCGATTAAGGCGTTAAACGCGTGTCATTGACTCTGAAATAACTGGCTAGATATGGAATTACACTAACAAACAAGTGACGCTCGACCCAGGTAGTACAAAGATAATGTAACTAATCGTGCTATTTTTTTAATAACATAATCAAAATCACCTAAGTATGTCGCTAAATATCGCTAATTGCCACTTGTTACTTTGTTAAAACCATACGTGAAACAGTAACTAGACGAACTAATAAGGTTTAGTTAATNGCCCTAATACCTTAGATTAATACCACGTTAATATTACGATTTGATGTTTTTATATCGGCATTTCCAAGGCTGCAAGATTGTTACAGAACGTGTATTTCTAGGTCTCAGTTATCAATATCATTTGATATTCTTAATCCGAGTTTATTACTTTGCATACGCGACACTTACAGAGGGGTTTATTTAGATTGACAAGGATTAATGTTGATTACTCCACAATACTCTGCATTCTAATTGAAGTGTGTTGAAGTTAGATAAAGTACAAATGCATTTAGTTTGTTAGCCATTTAGATCGATTGAGAGATTGCGAAGTAATCAAAAGTATGTCCTATCACCTAAATGGACCTTTGTTTGTCCATCTAATACTGATAGACACCTGCATCTATAGCTTTCTATATTGTTTACATTTGTTTGTCTACTAAAGAACAAATAGCAATATCCAATTTAAAAAAAAATAGGAGGTGGTTCTCAATTCGACTGTTTCGCCAAAATTTCAACTGATCCTGACAGCCCCACATATTGCCCCACATGAGCTTTACTCCAAGACTAGACATCAACTCACATATTTGATCACGTACGGTGAATGGATTTGTTGTTTATGGTGATTCTAATCTCATCACGTTCCTATTCACGCATTATAGCAAATCGAAGTGTGCATGCAAAAGTACAAACGCTAGTAGCATTGGGCATCGCGCCAAAGTGCATTTTGCATCATGAGCGGTAGCGTCAAGTAGGAATTTCCTTTGTATCTTTTCAAACCTAAACTACTACCTTATGAAAAACCTGGTAAAACGAAACACTTGCAATAATTAGCCTTTATCCAGAAAAACTATTGCGCGCGAAGCATGAAAAGTTGTATAACGTTAGGAGTTGATTTCTAATTAAAAAATATCTAATTAGAGTTGTCGCTCAGTCCACTCTTTCCAGAAAGTCAATAATATCGAAATGGCGTAAAAAATTGCATAAAATGTAGAGTTGGGTAAACTATCAAGACATAATCTTCATGTTATATATCAAGTTAGCTAAGAATCTGCGACTGATAATAATAATTTCGTATCAGAAAACGCAGCGTGGGACGTCCACCCACAAGGTGGACCGACGACCTGATAAAGGTTGCAGGAAGGCGCTGGATGCAGGCCGCTACCAACCGTGCGATATGGAAGTCATTGGGGGAGGCCTATGTTCAGCAGTGGACGTCCTATGGCTGAAATGATGATGATGATGATAATAATTCCATTTCGAAAAAGCATATAATCTCAGTTCTCTAACATGAGAAAACTATCATTCTGAAATACTGCCCATAATGAAATGATTGACTGATGAAATATCCATGTAGAGACACCTAGATAATGTGTTATTCATTAGATGCTTAACACGTCAATTCATGAATGATTTTCATATAATAAACGTGGGTGTTTATATGCAATATGCGCACGTGCAACACGCTGTGTACCTGTTAAATGATTTCAATTGTTCACTTCCAGTTTCGCATATCTTATGTGAATAATGTGAATTATCTAGCATTATATTAGTTGAAGCCCGTAATTACCCGAGATAATACGCTTCACGATTAAAAACCGCGTAAAATTAACAAAAAAATCACGAACTTGATTAATTGTTGTACACGTGTTTAAAATAACTGAATATTTATATTTTAAATGAACCCAACAGATGTTTTTTTTTCAAGACATAAAAACCTGAATTATCGAGTGAAACTTGTACACAATACACATAATATGTAGTTCTGATAAAATTGATAATGCAGCTCATTTCTAACCCAATTCTAACATTCAATTAGTTAAGTATTTTGTTTTCTCTTGTAGTGATGATATGCTGTTGTGAGTGTGCTAATGATACCAATAACTTGTAATTAGGGTTATTCATTGTAGTGTTTCGGTATGGAGATGAACGGACGTGGTGAATAATTTCTTGAAACAATATTTGTTTCGTTATTATCAATAAGTGATTAGGATATGAAATTATCAAATTGTACCGGCACCTCGACTCGTCGGCCCTTATCATTACTTGTCGATTTTGCAGCTGAAGTGGGTGTAGTGTAATTTTGCTGTCATATTGTGATTTTAATAAACAATACATATAAAATCTCTGCGACGTTATAAAAAATGGTGAATAACGTGGTGAGTGAAATAGTGTAATATTTTTTTTTAATGAACAGAAAAACCAGTGTAAAAGTCGAACATTTCAGTTTTAATTTACGTTAAACATTTTAATGCAAGATAATTTTACAAAGCAACTTTTTTTTCTTTAATTTGTTATTTATTATAATAATTTAATGACGTCCAACGTGCATAAGTGTGAAACAGTTTTATAATATGTTTCATGTTCCTAGTTGTAATTTATTTCTTCTGCACGGCTGCAATTATTACTCAAGCATGCAACAAAACTTACTGACGACTTCTAGTAATCGAAACAAGAAACGGATCGGTTTCATCTCATTGGCCACTACCCATTCAGCTGATTCAGGTCACATGTATAGTAACTCGATAGTAGGTTATATTCCTTTCAAATCATAGGCACGAGGCAATTTGCTAGAGCAATCTTTTTATCTGACGAAAAATATACATCGTCTAATGACGCTCACTGGTCTGGTGGTTCGCGTACCAAACTTCAAAGCTAACTTTTGTGTCGGGTACGAATCCTACTGGGGGCAAATGTTACTTTGATCAGCTTCGAAGTAATGCTTGTAATTTTGGTTAAGAATATTTATTTATTCGTTGCCTAGTCGACATTGTGCAAGCTTTTAATTTGGGGCTAGCTAGCACCAATAGTGGGATGGGTAGAATAAAAACAATGGCTAACCGAAAACTGCTTAAAACCATTAGGTTCTTTAATTATAAAGAATATGAAGAAGTTTTTTCTTTTTATAAGCTCTACCTCGTATATTAAAAAGATAAGCTTTCAAAATTTTCTTTAAAAATAACCCTATTCAACAAAATAGGAATGTAGACGTAATTGAGTGCAAAACGGTTTATAGAAGCACAGCATAACATTTGAGGGAAGTGGCATGCGACAAGCGTGCGGTACTAATCAATTAGAGGCAATCTGTATCACGTGCGGCCGCGTGCCCGGCTACACCACATTGTTCAGACCTGTGGGTTACTCCGAAAAACGTTATCCCGGCAAAAACATTTTCCAAGACGAGACCATTTGATTTACACCGTAAAGTTAGATCTAATGTAGAGCCAAGCTTCTAACTCTCTCTTCTAACTTCAGAAACTCTACACCCTTATTCAAAATAAATGTGGAATAGTGGTTTCCTTATCATCACATGGGTGTAAAGTGAAAAATATCAATCACCGTTCACTACTACTTCTTGTAGTAACTTTGATTGTCTCTACATAAGATCTGATAACTTTTTCACGGTGCAAACCATCCTCCCCTGCCCATCCCGATCCGAATTTCCAATATTGCCACCCACATCAAAGCGAGATGCCAGCATAAGCAACGGTGACAGACAGATAGACTCGAAACTACGTAATTCTAATTACAGCGTTACGGAGAAGGTAGCACTGCTACGAACTTGGCTGAAGCCCTGAAAGTTTCCAAACTTTCTTCACGCCTTTGGAAAACATTATAAAAGCATTACAAAATCGACGTAAAGTTGCTACGGCGAAGGAATTTATATTTGAAATCTTCGAAACTTTCACGCCGTCGAATCTGTCTAATATCGGTCAACTGCTGTTTCTGATTCTTTTTAACGCATAATGTAACATTTATAAGCTCTGAAAAATGGTTGCACTGAACATTATTGTCAAAACAAATTATAATCACATAAATTTCACGTCAGACTTTAAAATAAACTACATGGTTTCCTAGAATTAATACAATACTATGATTAGTATTTTATGACACTATAGGTAATTTGTAATTTGTTATTTTAATTCATCATTAAAAACATTATTTGTAGATACAATTTATTGTATAGTTACATGAAAATGAGGAAATCTGCTAATATTTTCCTCGCCATCACGTGAAGATGCATTTTTTATTTTATTAATGTTTTCCTTTGTCGAGTTTGTTGATATAACTGAGACGCTTAAAAACATTGTGAATCAGTGCGCAGTGCCAGGATTCGTCGTACCTTATGTCCTTTGTGTTTCTTAAGATCTTCACGTTTAAGCAAATTCGTTGATTCAACATTTATCACCTTAGCTGATGTCCTTAGCTAGTAACATTGACGGAAATATATCTCCAACAATGTTAATAAAGACTTTGATCTCATTGCAAAAATCTAAGGCACTATGTAATGCAAACATCGTCTCTACCAAGGGCTTCCTTGTTCTGGCAAATTTTCCGCCTCTGATGGAATGAGGGAAGGTCTTGTTACTGCACCGCATTCTGCACATACTTATTAATTTATTAAATTACGGAGGCATTCGAAAATGTATATGACATTGCATTGTCCATGTCCTTGAAGAGTACTTGATCCTGTTTTATGCTGTGATTCGGGAAGTGATTGCAGAAGGAAGTTTTTTATAGTGTTAGTGTACACTAATAACATAAATCAAAACGCCTGGTCTGTTTGTGGTGTAAACAGCGGCAAGGTCGAACGGTTTCCATCGCAAACAATGTGCCGCCGATGTAACGACAATGCTGCGTTAAATTTGCGCACCTACAATAAATTGGACATGGCCCCAATGAAAACTTTGCATACTAGTTCACTTACACTTTAATTTCTTCTTTGTTTGAAAACTTTGTTCAGACTAACACATTTTCATTAAAACTGTTTGTTTTCATAGGATTGTTAGGTCGGAGATTACTTTGATCGGATCATCATCGCAGTTCAATCATAAAATCCAAATCTAATGATGATGATTACAAATTAAAGACTTATCGCTTTCTTGAAAGACAAGCTTTTTGCAATAATAGTAATATAGATAGCTGGTTACTATGTAGCCTTTTCGCCGGATTTAGAAATAAATACCGATAACATCTATCAGATAAATGGTTATTTATCACAAGCTTCAGATCTAATTGAAAATATTACACATTATTGTTGGAAGCCGACGAAGGAATTTTGGTCAATATGTCACACATATGCTAACCACTTGGTCTTATCGCGTTGTTTATAGTCCACCTACATACCTACATTCGACATTATAAAATTCATTAGTTTCATAATAAAATTACAATATTGTTTGTTATTCTAACGTATCCACAAACACTTCCCAGTGCTATACACATTTTCCTCTAACTTAAGTCATGTTATTTATGGGGCCTCTTTGTCAGTGATATGTTTTTGCAGGCCTTAAACAGAGGATGATTATGGTGTACGTTATAATACTAGAGTCAAATAAATGATAATTAGTTTCTCGGAACGGGAAAATTCCTAATGATTTCTAAGTTATTGATCTTTTGAGTTCTATGTTGTTGTTTGTCTGATGTAATGAATAAACACACACAATTTATGTGTTAGCTTTGTTCGATTAATAATGGCGGCGTGTACAGAGGGTCCTAGATAAAGCTGGCGTTTGATACTGTTTAATTGACACCGCAACACAAAAAACTGTCGATAATGAAACGCTCGTATCGCAGACAAAGCGCCAGTTAATATGCTCCAAGTGCTGTGCTGGTGTTGTATGTTGAAATAAATCGTGTGAAAATATGGGCGGTTATGAATAACAATTTGTTAGAAGCTGCCGAGTATACTCGAGATAATTATTTAGTTACCTATGTAGAAGAATTATGTACTAGGTACTAATATAAATCCAATAAAGTTAAATAACTTTAGATGGTTAGTAGGGTAATTAATTATTTTCTCTTTTTATATCAGACTTAAACCAACTGATAGATAAGTATTTCATGTAACCATTAGTACACGTAACAATATGAATAATATGCTGGATCTTGCATCATTCCTTCATTAAGATGAAGTTACGAGTTTACCTAGTTCCTTGGTTTCCAATGAAATTTTTCCAGTATGCAAATTCTTCGGGAAGGAAATACATAATTGATAGAGCCACTGCAAATGCATATGCTAGCCACGTGAAAAGTATTATCCTGACTTAATAGATGACTCCTCTAGTAGTCATGCTCTTTGCTGTAACTAGGTACTTGTGATAGGATGATAGTTATAATGTATTGTAGACATGCGTCATGTACATATTCATCATCAATCATTCACACCACGTGCTCTCCGTGCTAAGCGGAACCTTGGAACCAATATAATCCGACAATATTTTATGTAGTAGCTAAACACAAATGACTTTGACAATGACCATGAAACTAATCGACTAGTTGATGGACTTCATAACGGATTACGAAACGTTTTTTACAGCTAGTTTATTTTTATTTTATCTCTATTCTATTTTTTAATGTAATTGGATAGGCATAAGTTGTTCTTGTTACTACGTGCTCTTGTTGCTGTGTTTTTATAGTACAGTTAGAAGCAAAAAAATCATTCCTAACGATTTTGGTTAGGGTTTGTTTGGCGCTAGAATCGATCAATCCAGTTATTGTAGAATATCGTCAATTTACCTAAAATTTTGCTAAAATTATCCAGTCCTAATCCTGTTGGAGCTGAAGTGGAAATTGTTATTAGAGGCATTAACCATATTTACTGCTAAGACTATAACGTCAAAAGCCGGATAACGAGATCAACAACAGCAGTGACGTAATGCTTTTAAATTTATGGGGTATTAATTTGATGATGGTGTAAAATAATGCCATTATTGTTTCACGACTTACGGTCTATTGTTTGCGCAAATACTGAATAATATTACCATTGATGTTCAGATGTTATCATAATTTCAAAAGCTTAGAACTAGGTTCATTCTGAAAGAGCTTACGCTTATTTAAAAATACAAAACAGTTGCTTGCTTATAATTTACTCGAAAACACGTTACTCTGCTTAAGAATTAACCATTATCGCATAATCTGTTTTTATCACACTTATTTACCTGTTGACGACATTAATGAAAGGAGATGGCGTAAATAGCATTCGATACCAGCATGCCGCCATACTGTATTTAATGAAGAGTAGATGCGAGCAGTCATATTCATCTGCAATTTGTCGTCTTAGTTTGTGCTATACTAAACTTATTTTCGTGTCAAAAAGCAGTCGTGCATGGAACCATGATGGTAAGATCATTCAAACTGAATGAATAGAACGAGTCACCACGCGATTCTCAAATTCTTTAAGACGCGGCACAAGGACAGTTTTTTTTTGTCTCGGAGGAAATGCTTTGCGCACCGTCACCACTGCCGGGTGCCAGGGTGATGCGGGACTCCCGGGGCCCTGAAAAGGGCGCTGCTCCTCTGAAAAGGACGGGGTATACCCACCCACTAAAACTTCAGCGCGCAATATCATTCAACCCCCTAAATGAGGACAATTAAACGTAAGAACGTTTAATTTCGTATTAGTTGCTAAGAAAACCTATGTTTTGTTTCAGACTGAGAGTGAAACATCATGCGAAGAAGCGGCGCGCCTCACAGCCGAAGGGGCGCCCGCAGAAGACGACGACGAGGCTTACGACTATGGAGCCCTACCGCCGCCACCCGACGGCGGCTACGGCTGGGTGGTGGTGTTCGCCTCCTTCATGTGTAACCTGGTGGTGGACGGCATAGCGTACACCTTCGGGATATTCCTCCCGGAGCTGGTCACATACTTCGGGGAGGGAAAAGGAACTGTCGCGTGGGTCGGCAGCTTGCTGTCCGGAGTTTATCTGGCTGCTGGTAAGTTTGATTCTTAGTGATGTAGTTTTTATAGTCTATAATTAAATAGGATCTTAATTCTGTCTCAATCACATAAAACACTATTCAGTTGTCTCTTAATCCTTATAGTCGCATTTGTAAAGTTCATCATTCGCAATTCTGGAATATTGTTTCTCATTCATACAAAAAGTAGCTCAAACCACTTCTCAAACTCCCAACCAAAAAAGTGTGACATGACTTCAAAGAGATTTCATCAGCACAAAGGACTTTTGTTCTTTACACATGCCAGATGTTTTGTGACGTCTCCTACGTGCATCAGGAAGCGAGAAACAGCGTCCTACCTTTTCTTTGATCGCCAACACAATGGTGTGAAGGGAAACACTTCAGAGTAACTGCTTGGTCTAGATTCAGGCAACAAGAATGCTGTCCGTTTTCCGTAATTTCCTATTGCACCGTAGAATCACCTTTGGTTATTTGCCTTTTTGGCGCCAGTAATCAAGCCCGACGTGACTATTTCCTATCAATTCGGGTCACGTTACTCACTTGTGCATTCATTATCCGTGCAACGTTCCAGCGGATGGCGTTGCACATACCTTCAAGATTAAATTGAGCTGTGTGTTTTATAATGTTTTGTTTCAATACCAGTCCTCATTTATATTAGAGTCATGCTCGATCGATCAGTAGTTCAATCGAAGACGCATTTTAAAATTTAAGTATCCTTCGAGTCTGACTAATGTCTGATTATGTGTTTTATGTATTATTCTGTTGTACCTGCTATGTTCCAGCAAGATTCATGTATGAAAGAAAGCATAGAGAGCCAACCCTTTATCAATGAATTTTAATACTTATTTTATCTCCCTAAATTTTCCTTAAGTCGACCCCGAATTTACTATGTCATTGTTAGTGATGGATGGATTATTTGATAACAGAAGCAAATATTGACGCTCGCTTTTATGCTACCTACCACTCGGAAAGATACCGAAACAGTAAGTTAATAAGTATTAAAACAAATGTCCATCGAATCATTGTAATCTAATCTCCGGAGAGTTTAAATAATGTATACTCATGTACTTAGACGATAAGATTGGAAGTATTGCCAAGCGTAAATAGATAATATTAGAGTTGATAATCCCTCTCTTAAACTGTTCAACACCGCTTGGTAACGGTCCAGTATTTTTTTGTAAAAGCGCTTGGACATTATCACATCACTATTGTCACTGCACTCTACTCTTATCTTTTTTAAAAGTCTAATTGACCTGATTACAGGTATCGATTGACATAAGTTGTTCAACAATTTGATATGTTTTCGAAATATATTAGCATTGAAATACAACAAAGCTAGCGTATGATTGGGACACAATATGATTTTAATAGAAAATTACGGAAGCATCTTTATCAAATGTGAAGACCCGACACTATGACCTTTCTTCTTGCAATTTGGTGCTATCTTAGTATTTATTGCCCACTAACTTCTTCCAGCTGCATCGTCCGCGTAGATTTAGGTCTATCGTTGAAAGACTTTATCACTTGCAAAACAGTTTGACAATCTGGACTACCTATTTTTTATTTCTCGTCACGTACAAACTTTTATCCCCTAATTATTAAAGTTTTTTGCAACAAAATGCTGCTCTTGATTGAGATGATATATTGAATCAAAAGATGAAAAGCAAATCTCGACGTATCTTTGGCATAAATATAAGTATTTCTTATTACTAAGCTATTGTGTCGTATCAAGTATCAAACGATCTTTTTTTGTTTCCAATCTAACATCAACACAACGTTTTTATTACAGTATTGCTTAATCATAGAGTGGGTGTGTGTATCGAATAATCCTTGAACCTAACGCATATTTACCGGCAACCTACTTTGTGCCTACCGTATATTCCTTGAACTGGATAACAAGTATTCAAATGTTGCATCGTGTATAATCGCCGACCAAAGGTTAGTTAAGCGAGTAATGCAGTTACTGTAAAATGTAGCTTAAAGGTATTTAATACCTATATCTTTTATGCCAAAGAATAGTATTTTTGTTAAAAACTGGGGCGTCCTAATTTATCTTAATCTAATGATGTACCTAATTAATGATAGTTATACCAAGCACGTTTTTCGAAGTGAATAATAACATTATCAGAATTACCGTATCATTTGGATCTGGGACTCAAGGCAAGATAACCATCTGCAGGCGGCATGGTCGGACTCAAAGTCATACCAATATTCGATAAAAGTATTGCTTTAATTATCAACGTCTTCAAATAAAATTAGGAACATTGAAGTCCTTTTATTACGAATCAAGTCACGCAAAGGAAATAAATGAAGCGTTGGAAATTAACTTAGTAATTTAGGTTTAGGGCAAGGTAGAGCTGTTATTAGGTATACGAGGTAATTTGTATTCTAGCCTAAGTAGTAGATAATTGCGAATTGAATATATGGAATATATGTGACAAGTTGTTTATGTTACGTCATTTGGGCCACTTGCATTCATAAAGGTAAAACTTGTGAAGACTTGCTTACAAATATAAAGAGTAAATAAATATGCGCATTTTATAATCGAGGTTTTTCTTCGTTTTGTAATTTTGGTCAATAATGCAAATCAATGTCCTATAATATTGCACATCGTGTCCTGTTTACCAAATTGGTAAAAAACATGGCATAACCAGTTCTTATGACGGTTCATATTTATGATGACGTTAAGGTATTTGTTACTTCACATAATAAGCTGTCTTTAATGGTTTCTTCGCATCAGCGTGGATTTCTTTCATTGATTTGACTTCTCACAAATTATTTCTCTATCTTGTACGTAACAATAATGACTTTGTATTATCATCATACGTATAAAATTGTTTTTTATTTCTAGGTCCAATAGTGTCAGCACTATGCAACAAATTCGGGTGTCGAGCGGTGTGCGTGGCAGGCTCCTTGGTGGCTGCCACAGCATTCGTTCTGTCCACCTTCAGCAAAAGCGTCACTGTGATGATGATCACCTACGGGTTACTTGGAGGTAAGCAAAGAGTGCATTTAAATAATTTAACAATGTGTTTTGAATAAGGGCTGTCGTATTTGCCCTCGTCATTTAGTGTCCCTGTAGAGCAAGGTTCTGTCACTCGCCAGACGCCACGTCTATGACCACATCAATATTTTTTTAGAAAAGTGGCATGTTGAGGATTATAATATATAATACGTTGTTTGACGTGCCATCATTAAGTCGCACTGCGGAACATAGGCTTTATCCCGACTAAAGGGTGGTTCGGCTCATACTCCACCGAGCGGGCTTGAAAAGGGGTGGCAGAAAGATAAGTGATCCACCTTCTGTCAGATGTTATCAAGAGGTAGGCCGCTTGATAGCTTTAGGAAGCTCTGTTATACTAGCTTGTATCTTAATTTTTATTTTTTATACTTATTATTGCGAAAGATGAAATTTTATTACATTTATTTTAGGCGCAGGTCAAAAATTTTACCTTAGCATGCCTGAAACTAGTTAAATTATACTGATGTAGAGTCGAGTCTCTTTATCTGTATATTGCGGCCGATGTTCGAACAGATGAACTGATTAGATTACATACTATGATATATTTGTTTTTCAAAGCTAAGCAAATAAGTACATGATTTTCATAACATTAGGAAATGTTATGTAAAACATAGTATCGGACGAAGATAGGTAAAGTTCTTTAATGAGACTCCCACGACTGACGTAAACTGCCACGGATTTCGTAAACGTTGAGGTGTGCGCTATTTTCAGTTACATGTTTTACTTTCGCTGAAGTGTTTACAAGCATTTCAGGAGTACGTCCATACATAATTGCTTCATTCACTATTCAGAGTTCTCAGTTCCTACAAACAAGTGCAATTAATTTCTTGATTAAAATATTCTTGAGGACTTTGCGTGGCATAGTGAGTGNAATGAGTGTTATTTTTATCGATTCAACGAAAATTGAAATCGCGCCAAATTGAAAGCGAGTCTTTGACCTTTATACATTATTGTTATTTTATTGAATACTAATAATTGCAAACTTTTACTTGCGTACTTATATCTTTATTTTTGTTTACGAATGAGTCAGAGTTGTTATGAGAATGTTAGTATTTTCGGTATAGTTTCTAGAGAATATTAGCCATACGTAGATGAAACTCAATCGTTACTGGCTGCCGTCCAGGCAAATCATCCGAACAATTTAGGATGTCACTTGTAACAGCTTAATTTGCGAATTCACTTGACGTTTAAATATGGTCGTGTTATATTGGCATAATTGAAAATATAAACAAATGAATTAGTATACTAAGACTCTGAAACTATTCTGAGAGAATCGTACTACCTACAAAATACATAGGTTTAATAAAATAGGAGTTTATCACGGAGGATTTATTAGCAATTTCGGAATCAAATATACAGTCAGAGCAGATGCGGTAATTTTGATTCAGATCATTAAGTATTTACAGTTATGTTATAATATACGTCCTGTAACATGTGTCGAGTATGGAAGAGTTTATAGTATAATAACTTGGCAATAAAGTCCTTTGTCGTGAACGAATGCGCGAATTATGTTAATGTCCCACGCTGCCAATGACCTTGGCACATTGGCACAAATGTAGAATAGCGCTGGTTAGTTTGTCCTTCGGAGTTTTGTTTCTATAAACAGATGGAGTTAACGATTAGAGCGATATGTTTACTCGTGCCTAACATCATCGACATAGACGGTAACAACGCACGTTCAAATAACCCAAACACACGTATTGTTAAAACGAAACGTATGAAGTTTACTACAAATGATGTTAGTAATTCTGAACTTGAATGAGAATTAATTAATGGACATGAGTAATTGTTTAATTGGTTTTAATTAGTGTGTCAGCACATTCACCATTTGCCCATAATTTCCGCCGACACCCAATGGACTGTAAAAATGTTAGTTATTACATAATGGATTCTTTGGAATTCATTGAGGTTATCTACTCATCCTTTATTAATTCATTTTACACATTTTGCTGTTCAGTTAAATTTAAATTAGTTCAACACCATTCAGTAGGCACAAATTGATCGTTATTTGCGAGAGCAGAGGGCTTATAATGTGAATCGTCCAGTGCTTTGTCCTTTCATGCGCTGAAACTGTGGCAACAAATCGCGTGTGAAATTGGCTGTGCGCCAGCTTTCAACTCCGGTGCAAACCGACACATGACACTCTCATACACAGAGTTTTAAGCCCTTCTCGTAATCAGTGGCTGAAGTGGTAAAGCCCGCCCGTTCCGGGAATGCAGCTTAGTTTGCAGCAATTTTTATAATCGATACAGTGCACACACATACATGCTTTGTTATTGCTACGTGGAAAGCCACTCGTAGTTTTTCACGCCTCGATCGAGGATTAGAAATCACCTTGACTCAGAAATTTTCTGGCAAACACGTACCTAGATACTATATTTTTCATTGTTTTCGTTACATGCTTGTTCATTTGAAATCTTACATTAAGTAAACAATTATCACCGCAGTATTTCAAAACCGCGTAATTAACATTTCAGCCTTATGCAGCGCGCTGTAGATTCCTTGAGAGCTGCTCACAAATACCTTACTACTTCTTTTGTTTTTTATGGGCAAGTTATATTTATTGAAATTTATATCCGTATCGGATTTGACCTGAAGGTCATCAGCTGGCGTGGTGCCAATATCCGCAGACGTGGTGGCGCCATGCTGGGCTTAATAGCACACTTTTGGTCTCCTCATCAACTGTTGCACCATTCGTAGTCACACTGTTGGGCTAGTGTTACATTTAAATGTGACAATGTGTCGCGCGTTTACTGAGCGTGATGATTACCATTCAATACAATTGCTGGCCTACTCCAATTCACAATAGTAATTTAGAATTCTTTGTTCAAACGGTTACTGATAATTACACGTACATTTTAGATTAAAATGAGGCGTTTAAAAATTATCACATGCTTCTCATTCCGTGTAGTTCTTAACATTGATATCTATTGTTAGACAAACCAGCAATATATTGTGCAAGTGTTCATTAGCGATTCGTGTCTTTTAATCCCTGTATTTCATAGTCGTCATATTGATGCATGTTTCGGGTGTCATCATTTAGAAGCTATGTATTTACAATGTCATTTTCCCACCCACGTAGTCCAATAATAAACGCTTAACAGAAAAATATCTTGATATAGGTAGACAGACATACACATTACTTGTAATAGAATTGCTACTGTACCCGTCTAGTAAAAATCGTTTTTCACCGCAAATCGTGAGGCCAAAATTATCTATAAGAATTTGCAGAATTACAATGTAACACAAAATACAGTCGATTTCCTGTTATTTGTATATCTCAAGCATTACGAATATTAACGTGTATTTAGCACATTGACGAGTGATCCTTATTGGCAGAGTTAGATCATCGAGCCAGAGATTGGAGACTTTTGTATAAAGTGGCATTTGCTTGTGGTACTACAGAGTGGAAATATTATAGTCCATGGAATTCGACACAGTCAGTTTTCGTCACGTTATCATTGAAAATTAGGAGTTGACCAAATCACTTTCTTTGCCCGCATACATGCACATACGAGTAAATATTTTATGTCACAATATCTTGTTAAGCTGTTGTAGGTAAATTATTTTAATACTAGTGTATTATTCATTTTTCGGATATTGTTTACCTTAGAAACCGACTATGTCATCAAAGAATAGCTATTTAGTAAATCATTATGTTTACTGTTTTAAAAGCAAGGAAAACATTTACAACGTACATAATATGATATGGAGAAGCAGGAATGTGTTGACTCTGACTCTTTGAAATACGCCTTTAAACAAACCACAGGACTTGACCACGCTAACGTAAATTGCATTAAATACGTTTTAATCTGTTTGATGTACAGTCGCGGAATGAAAAGGTTCGTCACCTTAGTGTCGGTTTTCGCTTGCACTAGATACTGTAAGAATCAAACCTGCCAACATAACAGTGCAAGAAACAGTGCTGCTAACATTAAAATAAANGATCCTAACTATTGTGTTGTTGATAGCTTCTTACTTTAAAATGACAGATGCTCATTTGTGTTCTTTCAAAAATAATCGTCTGCAAAGTAGGTCGTCGCCTTACGTTAGCGAGCTATCGTCAGGCGCCGTGGTTTGGATGTAGGTCAATCAAAAATCAAGCCGGGTCAAATGTACTTGGTGGATTTTATACGATTCCTCTCTAATTAAGGAGTTTTTGTTTACCTGCAAATCGATGTAATTCCATTTTTCCTTTTGACCTAAATATTCAGTTCAGGGAAACCATATTATTACTTTGACAAACAATATTATTGTTCTTGTTTAACTAGTTCAGTAAACCAGCTGATTTAATGCTGAATAATATTGTATTAAATTGTTTTGTACATGTTTAATCAGAAAATTGGAGTATATGCCGGAAAGTGACGCATTGCATTAAAACAAGTGCCGACGACCTCTCCGCACAACAACCCATATGTTCCTTTGTGCGGTTTCATGAATTTGTGGGCCGACAGCCACTGACTCACAGTATAGTGTTACAATTATTATCGTGTTTGCAGCTTTAGCGCTTCCCACTAAAACACTTTCCAACGCATTGTCAACAAAGAAAATGAAATCATTATTGACAACTCATGGTTACTTCTTTCAGTTTCACTTCGTCTGTAGAGCTATACACCTATTAGTAAACAAAGAGAATATATTTATCAGTCAGTTCAAAGGTTATTAAGTAACTATTGAAAAACAGGACAGCTTCGTCACTGAGGAAGGCGTCACATACAATAGGGACTCTCTATATTTGTCTCGGAAGTCGCGCGTGACCATTTTTTATTGTTGATACAACGCTATATTTAGACGTTAATAATCATAGACGAGGCTTAGCAACAAGAGTGGAATTTTTTGCCCACCAAAAGTCATTGTTCGAGCCAGCATTGCTCTGGAAGAATCTTGAGTTTTTGGCAAGAAACAAGATACTATACTATTTAGTGAACAGTAAATAACCTCGTGGTCCTGTTATGACTGTTAAATATCCTCTGGCAGATCGATTTGCATGTCGCAATGCTATGAGCTCTAATCACAGTGGACATGAACCATTTTAATGGTCGCCGTTGGGACCAATAAGATTCACTAGTTTGCGTATGATTGATGCCGAGGTCATGGTACTTGTGTACTCTACTCAGTCATGCCGGCCCCTCTCGCTCTCATTAAGGACCAGTATGCGCACATTTCTGGGACAAATTGTTCAAAGAACACTAATTTAGCATCGTCCGCTGGAAATGCTTTGCATACGTCAGCCTACTCTTTGGGTTTCTTTGAAGATAGCCATATACGGCTCTTTCATAAAATAGTAATGTAACATGACATAGTTTTTCATTTTCGGTCATTACAAGATTACAACTTACAAGTAACGTATTTCAAATAACAGAGTAGGTATAATATTTCTGCTTAAAATGAAAGGTTTTTCTGAAAAATTCCTATTAACAAAAACTACGACCAAGCTAAACAAACGCAAAAGATTCCGAAAAGAATTTTCCATTATTAAAATCATAAAATGTTTCTAATATAGTATGTAAGGCCTATGCGGTTTTATATCTTACCAATTCGTAAACTTCTGTCAAGCGCTAATTGAACGCAGAGTAACTAGTCTACAGATGCGTCTGTTGTAACAATTAACAAGTAGGCACTCTATCTTTCTAGGTATCGGCTTCGGTATGATATACCTGCCGTCTGTGGTAGCTGTGGGCTACTACTTCGAAACGCGGCGGTCGCTGGCGACCGGTATCGCGGTGTGCGGTTCTGGAGTGGGCACCTTCAGCTTCGCACCCCTCGCTTCCATACTTCTGAATGAGTTCGGCTCGTGGCAGAATGCTAACCTGCTTCTTGCCGGACTCATTCTTAACTGCGCCGTGTTTGGTGCGCTTATGAGACCGCTGGTGTATCCTAAGGTAGGTTATCATCATCCGATCTTTTAGTCTCCGTGGCAGGAGCATTTCTTTCCTTTCTAATTTACCTTTACTGCCTACGCTGACGCTGGCAGACGGGATGGGGGTCTGATGATAGATATATTTTTTTATGTATTCCCTCTAGCATATTAGCGAAGCTGCTGACAGAATTATGTCTCAACTGTTCTGTATGTACTCTCATTACGCCATTTACTCTGGTAAATTGAAATTGACTGTGTGATTTTATTGGTCGATTTAATTGAACTCCCCAATCTACGGTGCATGAAATAGTCTGCTAGTCTGAAGGGCAAAAAATGAGAATACGATTTCTGTCCGCTGAACGTTGGCAGCGAAGACCTATAAGGCCCTTTTCACATGTCCCGGTTGCCGGCTAATGTCGCCGGGTACCCGGTGGTGAAGTGTATGGGCATGCCGGATTAATTACGCCGGTACATGTGAAAGCTACTGCCCATACACTTCACCACCGGGTAGCCGGCAACCGGGACATGTGAAAAGGGCCAAACGCTGTGTCGTTGCTCGGACAGATTTGTACGTGTCCCTTACGTACGGTCCATCAAGATAGTCACGGCAATTTAACTCTATGTAGAGATGTGCAAGTACTTTCATTTTCGTACCGTTGACTCAGTGCTGATGTATGGCTGCATGCCAGACTAGATATTTAGTATGTCTCGACAGTTAATGACCATTTAGCCAATACAAAATTTTGAGACGGAGTTCTTCAAAATTAATGTTTATTTGTTGTTAATGATTCCAGTCGTCAGGCGAAAAGCCTCTGCTGCAACGAATGGCTGAAGAGAAAAGACTGCAAATGGAACGGGGATCAATTGGGGGGTCATACTTCATGGTGCAATTACCTGATGGGACAATGGAAAAAAGACTGAAGGTAAGATATTTTTCAACTAAGTTTAGTGCCAGGTGACTGGAATGGACCTCAAAGTTTAACAAGAATCATAATATGGTAGTGTTAGACGCCCACTAAAATAAAATATAATGGCATTATCTCGTCAGGCTTATGTTTTAAGCCGTGACATCAGTAACTTCATTTCGATAGCATAGGCCTGATGACATCTCGTTTTCCTTACTGGTATGTCTTGGATTTTGGAGATCAAACCCATGATCTTTGGCATAGATTGTCGCATGATCCTCTAGACCAGGTGACAGGGTAATAAGTGTCGAGGATCGAGTCTGACCTTTGAGATAGTGACATGGTTACGCGAACCACTGGATCAGGTGATTGTCGACTGTGTACTAATAGTTAAATGGAAAGCCGAAGGCGCAAACTTGTGCTCAATGTAGTCATATCGGAGAGCTGAAAGTCTTGATCTGTGCTCGATATAGTCATATCTCCAAACTGAAGGCCCAAACCTGTGCTCAATATAGTCCCTAACGGAAAGCTGAAGGCCCTTACGTACTCAATATAGTCATATCGGATAGCTGAAGGGCCTTTACCTGTGCAATTTTGTTGTATCTCCAAGCTGAAGGCCCAAACCTGTGCTTAATGTAGTCATATCTCCAAGCTGAAGGCCTATGAGAAAGCCGAAGGCGCAAACTTGTGCTCAATGTAGTCATATCGGAAAGCTCAAAACCCTTACCTGTATTCAATGTAGTCGTAGCATTGAGCTGAAGGTTTACATCTGTACTCAATGTAGTCATGGACTGCTGAAGGCCCAAACCTGTGCTCAATGTAGTTAAGGGTAACTGAAGGCCCATATCTGTGCTTAATGTAGTCCTATCTCAAAGCTGAGGGCCTAATACTGTGCTCAATGTTGTCTTACTCCAAGCTGTGATCAATGTAGTCATATCTCGAAGCTGAAGGCCCTTACCTGTTACAATTTGTCATATCGGAGAGCTGAAGGCCTTTATCTGTGCAATTTTGTCGTATCACCAAGCTGAAGGCCCAACCCTGTGCTCAATGTGCAGGCGCCACTGAACATAGACCCCGGCGTGCACTCGTCGCTCAACCTGGAAGCGCTCGCGAGGGTGCCCACGGTGCCCAACATGCCCGGCGTGCCCACGGTGCCCACGCTGCCCACCATCACCGAGGCCAAAGTGGCCGAGGATAACGGAATGAAGAAGAAGGTGATTGCTGACTTCTGTGTACTAGACATGCTTACTAATACCAGTTGTTATTGGTGTCACGAGTCGATTGCAGGCGAGCGAGATATATGCCGCGAGGATCACTAGTAGGCAAATTAGCCTAATTTTGTAACGACTCAAGATTGAACCTTAACATTATTTTATCTTAAAATTAAAGATATTGACTTACACTTATAAAAATCACTAGATACATTGAAACCTATGTCAGTCTGCTTTAATATTTTATTTCACATATTACCAGTTTCTATTAGCGCGGACTGATATCACTTAATGAGACCGATAATTTTTCATTATTAATCGTCCGCCCGCAATGTGACACCATTTTAATTCCGAACAGCTTGTCTAGTTACTTGGAAGTCCTTGTATAGTAGCGTACACTAACTGCATGATTGGCATCATCGCGTGACAGCTCATGTGTAAACAAATGAACGCTAGTTTGCAGTGAGCCGTGATATTTTACGGAGATTATACAGGGTGTAAAATGAGCAAAATACTTAAGAACGAAAGACGCAAAAGGAGCGAAAACACAGCTCACAACGTGTTGTGGTTGCTGTAAAACGTTTCGTTATTATTAAATACTAGAAAGTTAACCTTACAGAAAACAAAAAATGTCCCAAAAAAATTGGTTAAACTAAATATTTTTTGTTGTAATTGATAGCTAATGCCTTTATCGTAAGGTTGCTATCACGGATTTATATCTTTCTGTCCCTTATTTCTTTGATTCGAATTATACAATCGCTTGGATAAGTAGCAATGTCTTGAATTTAATAACAATTCAATGATATACTATCGGCTTAAAACAATTTTAAAGATAGGTCAACAGTAACTTTAAATTAAATGCCTATTACAATATCTGTCTTAATGATTACGCTCATTTGTTTACACTTTTTAACACATGTACTGTGACCCATGTGTGGCATGGAGTGAATAGAACCTTACACCTTCAAAATTTTCTTCAAAATTGCATGTTAGTGTGCAAATAGCTTTATCGATACATACGACGTATTTTTATCGATGAGTGACAGTTAAATTGATACATTGACGAATAAATCAAGATAATTTCATGTAATAAATTCAGAATTGATGATTACGATCATTCTTTTTGTTTTTCAAATAAATATAGAAAAAAAAATGACTCCGAATTTTATTAATGGAAATTTTAAGGTTTTTGACAAATGAAATATAATTTATCTCGCACGTGTGTGTACCACTAAAGCACTATCATTTATGTCATTCATTGAATACTAACTTAACATGTATTGTACTAATGTGTACTAACATTAATGTATATTTTTTGTCTATTGTTGTTATTAATAACGTACTAGTAGAACGTACTAACATTTGTAATCTGTTGTTATTGTTATTATGTTTAATAACACTAGTAGCTTTTGTTGTTGTATGCATGTTATGTTTAAGATACGATATTATATGCTTCTATGTAGATCTATTACGTGGTTAATTGTAAATTCAATCATTTGATTATAGTATTAGTTTATTCGTAGTCTTTCTTTTCTTCTAGGCTATTAGTTTTTATTTCATTATGCATGTAAAATAATAACTGTATTGAATCTCATTTGTATATTTTATTAGTTTAAAAATGAACTACATATTTTATGTCAATATTCTGTAATTTGAAAATGGTGTGATTTGTTTTCTCCTGGGCTTGGTTTCCTTATTATTAATTATTTGTATTATTTTTGCATAAATAACATGATTATTTTTGATTTCTTATTTATTTTTGGAAGAGGTTATTTTTCTTATTTGTTTTACTTTTCATTATACTTTATGTTTCTGATGTTTTAAATCTCAAAAGATACTTTGTGTACTTATTTATGTACAATAATAAGATATGGAATTGGTCGCTTTTAGTTCTTCTATCTAGAAGTACTACTGTTCAACTACGCTGCTATAACATAATCGCAAAATTACTCATTCACTTTTTAGTTTTTATGATGCTGTTACTTTATATCTTGTGAATAGAATCGTTAAGATTATAAATAAAACTTACCTATCAATTTATCAGGCATCCAATGTTTCTAACCCAAACTTTTATAACTGTCTTGATATAATTGTTGAATGATTCAACCCTGCGCTTTTTCCTCTTCAATATTTTAGAGCAATTGGTTCTGAATATAATTTAATTTAACAATAATTTAAATTCCTTATTTACACGCTATTCCATTTTAGAACTACACGGAATCTTACCCGAATGTGTCCTCATCTCACTCTAATCATTGCAGAGCGACAAGGAGAACGGTTCAGCGTTGCAAACGGACAAGCAGATATCTCGCAACGTGTCGTCGCCTGCGTTTAGTGCGCAAGCGCCGGGTCTGCCAAAGAACGGATCCGTGCCGTTCTTTGATCGCCAACGCAAGCACTCTACGGGAGATAGGTCAGCCAACGATAGGTACACGCTTTTGCTTTGTTTTTTACCACGATGTTATTGGAGTTTAAGGTCTGTAGTCATGAATGTGAGTGTGATGACCCGACGTTTAGTTATGTCTGGAGTCATAGGCACAGTATGTTGTCGTCACAGTACTAGTTTTGCTTGTTAGTTGATGTTATAGTTTGACAATACATTTAAATTTTTGACTGGCTTTTGACTTGTTACAAAGCGAGCACCATGTACCAATTGAACAAAATGCTCTTAACTAGACTCACGGCATTAGTTTTGCCAGCAGCTAGATTGTAGACTACAAGTAGACATTTATATTTTTATGACCTAATCAACTGTTTTTTATGCATGCGTTTTGTGTTACTCCACAGCAACTGACACTTTTTAGATTATCCGTTGTTAATTTTGATCATCGCATATTTTTATTGCAAGAGGGCCTTTTCAGTTGCCAGAAAACTTTTTTGTGTTGTTAATTTTATTAGAACTAATTACTTGTGTGAGAAAAATGATTTCTGGCAATTAAAACGGTCCTAAATAGTTTTAGATTTTTTTTTATTATAAATGTCCAAACTATTTAAGGTGCAAAGAGATACCAAGGAACGATGGTAATACATTTTCTAGTGTCCCATATGAATACATAAGTGTTTCCACAGCGCCCAAGCCCAAACTGCCCAAGCTGAGAACGGAGCAGTGCCGGCTAGGAAACATTCCACAGGAACTGTCGATAGGTAGTCTTTCACTATGGGATAAATGGGTGTTTTTTTGGGATGGTGGTATACAAAATTGGGTATTTGACACCATTTCCCAATAATTCTAAAGCACAACTTTTTTAAAAAGACACTTCTTTCTGGTCTTAAAAACTTAATTAATTTTTAATTACCTGTAAATTACGATTTTTCGTTGCATTATAATTGAAAAAAGTAGTTTCATTGAGTTGATAAAATTGTGACGTCACATGCTAGTATTGCCGTACAAAATCTATGGGAGAGTGTCGTTTTGACAGTTTTAAAAAGTACGTCAATAGATTGGTGGTGTCAAATACCCTATTGTTGGGTTTTGACAGTATGGGTCTAGAAAACTACGCTTAGCCATCTGCATTATTCAAATCTTATTTACACAAGCTGATATGTGCGAGAGAGAAGAAATAATGTTAAACTCTGATTTTTAATTCGACGGAATTTTGACATTTCAGAAGTGTTGTCAACATTGAAACATTCCCATTATGAATGGAGAGCATTTTCACAAATTAAAAAATAACCCTTTCTTGTATTCAAGGTTTCACTTGAAAAACTAAGGCTTAAAAATGTACTGATCATTTCAAAATGGTTATTTGAATTTTTATTATCATATTTTTGAAGTTACAAAAAAAATTGGGATATTTTTTTTCTATTACTGGACTCCCTGGCCAATAATACATGGGTTACAAACCTTTTTTATGAAAATCCTTTTGTTAATAAAATCTTAGGTTCATAAAATAACCAATTTAACAAGATGCCAATTTTATAATCCAAGTTGATTATGACGACGATAATGATGATTGATGATCAATACATATTTTCGTAAATGATAATATGTTGTTTTACTGTGTTAAAAACACGTTTTGTTCTATTTAAACTCTAAAATGTTCATAATAATTAGTGTACATTGAATTGACACAACAAACAATAGTTCATTCTTGTAAGTTGTACTTGATGAAATTTCATTTCATATTATTTATTAATAATTCAAAGCAAAAAAGGCTTATTACATCTGTATTGTCAAAAAATGACAGCTGTCAGAATTCCGTCGAATTAAAAATCGGACTATACATATGTACATTCACATTGGCGCGCGATTTTTTTATGGAAATATGGGTGGTGCATGCTTAGACCTCGCTGTAGTTTCATAAATAAGTCGCATGTAATGTAGCAATGAAAATATATCTTTACAGTTGGCTAAGTGGCGATTTCTAGTTGTTTAGTGGGATATACTATGTATACGGGAGTATCTAGTTAGTTTTTGTCTTGTTGGTCGAGTTTTAAAAATTTTAAAAAAGGTTTTGAAAGTATTATTATTATTCAGGGATATTAAAAGAAATCGTCTAGTTCATCTATGACGGTTATGCATGCTGCATTCTAGTGGGTTATTATGGGTTGTGGTAATCTGTGGTGGCATTATTTACTCTATGTATATTTTGGGCATAAATAATTCAAATATCCGAATATTTCTTAAACTCTTATTACATGTATCAAAATACAGGTTTTTGGATGGGTAGCTCACATACAACCCTGTATGTGCAGTGTAAATCAAGGGTTTTCAGGCCTAATGTTTTTAATATTTGTGTATTTTAATATTTAATTTAATTAATCTAATATAAGAAAGAATCCTACTAACAAATCTTATAATTTTATGAGACACATTGTTTATGTTCTTTTGTAAGATTGTGGTTGTTAAATAAAGTAGTATTTATTGTGTGCGACGCCATTTTTGAATCGCTTACATGAGTTACGGCATTGGCATTTGTTATCATGTTAATTACTGTATGTAATTCCAGGTTAATCCTTTGCTATTGATTTATTATTTTGAATACATTAACTGGGGCCTTGTAAAATACAAAGTACTATCCGTTTGTAATGGTTTATTCTCATTTCTATTTCAGATTTAAACCGTCCTTAGCTGCCATTAAAGCCACGTCCAAAACCTCAATGAACAGCCAAAGAAACGATGTAAGTAAAACCCGTGGTAAAACTGCATACCAGCATTTTGTTATCTCTTTTGTCATGCGAGAAAGAACATTTGACTGCAAGTGTTAAAGCATTCATTGCCTAACATTTTTAGTTAAAATAGTGTTATAATTGCAAGTGTTACGTATTTTCTGATTTGCTACCTATATGATTTGTTGGCCGTTTGTTGATTACACGATTGCAGAAAATTGTAGTAAATAGTCGTTGCATGTTTTAAAATACTTAATAGTTGCACATTTTACAACATAATACCAATAACACTTACACCAGTCCTATTTGTCTAAAACGTATAATATTCTAGACGAATGACGCTCATAAAATGTTTATAAATCCGTGAGTCGCGACAGCCAGACAAAACTCGAGTGCGCCTTGAACTTTCGTCGCGGTGACGTGCCAAATCGTACAATCGGTAACCAATTTGGCGGCGCTCCAGCGAGCTTGCCTTGTTCCTGTTTATACACAAAATCTGTTTGTTTGAGACGTTTCGGCTTATACCTACACGTATGTTATATTTAGTTTTTACTTTTACCGAAAATTTCCCCGAAAACGTCGCGGGCTAATGCTAGTGTTTTTTTATAAGCGCTATCGCTACACGTGGCGTTACTATCAATATTACTATCTAGTCCTATTTCCAGGAATTATGCATGCTTAAAGTGTCCCTCATCATAATAACTGCTACCAGACATAAGAAAGAATAAACTTCTGAAATAAATAAGGCTGACAAAAGTGCCTCTTCATCCTATTAATATTATAAATGCGAAAGTTTTTATGTCTGGATGGATGTTTTTTACTCTTTCACGCTAAAACTACTGAACGGATTTTGATGAAACTTTACAGTATTATTCTTTATAACCCAGAATAATATATACCTACGCTATAATTTATGACGATCTGTGACTAACTAATTATTAAAAACTAATTGGTATATATTGTCCCGAAGCGGTAGAGGCAATACCTATTATACTACTAAAGAATTTGATAAATGAAAATTACCATCGTCTGCGGTCGACCACAATCTTACCTTAATGGTAGGTACCCTTACTTGGTAATTACCTTTTCATCTGCCATTTCCAGGGGGACACAGAAAGCATGATGTACCAGTCCAAACTGTCAGTGTCCGGGCCGCGGGAACCGTCCCGCATGGTGCGTCCCATGTCCCGCAAAGACATCTTCTACTCGGGCTCCGTGCTCAACCTGCCCCAGTACCAAAGCCAGAAGTCTTTACAAGGGTATAGGAACTCGGTGCTGAGTCTGCCTCAGAGCAGGCAGACTGGCGATCTGGAGAGAGCGGAACGTGAGTACATGAAATTAGTTATGGTTAGAGTTCATTAAGAATTAATTTTAAAAATTCACTCTTTTTAGACCATTTTTAGAGGATCCCATACAAGTTTAATCTTAAATTCGGTTTAACATACTTCTAGTTCGATTAAGTTTGAGATTTAAAAAATGGTCAACATTGTGTACTGTATTTTAAGGTGGACATGACTGACTAGTCATCCGTTTTAACTTAATGACGTCAACTACTGGACAAAGGTCACCTCCTAGAACAACGACCGGTCCTGCGCTGCCCGTATCCAGGTGCTTTCCACGATCTTATTAGATCGTCGGTCCTCGGTATGGGGAGGCCTTGTTTTATGCCCCGCCCACTACTAGGTACTTAAGTTTGGCAATTTTGCGGACTATCGTCATCACAGGTCATTTCGTTTCCACTGCAGGAGCACAATCGTTCTTAGTTTACCTACCAGAGACAAATAGAGCAATAGCATTGGCTTCCTTCCGCCACCCTGGCCAGACGGGTTGGCTACCTTCGATCTCTTTTGTGTATTTCTTTCTTTTCTTGTTTTGTGTGGAGTTCAATAAAGTGTTTATCTGTCTATCTATATCAATAACTTATTTTTTTTTCATTTATTATCATTTTACAAAGTAATTTCTTAAACATTATTACAATTTATTGCATTGGCATAAACCACAGGTTTGTTTGCAATGCTAGATGCGGTCAGTCTATTAAATTAGTAGACAAACAGTTGCGTTCTACAAAAAGACAAAGAACATAATAAAATTTTCATAGATAGGCATCCCTGCCGAGCCGATTTACCAAGAGGTTAGTATATTCTACTACAATTGTCTTACACACTACTCTTTATGTTTCAGAATACGACCTCTGCCCGTGCCTCGCTCTGCCCAGCTCGTTCAAATCCGCGCTATCTTCCATGTTGGACGTGAGCCTGCTTCGCGACCCAGCGTTCATGCTCATCGGCGTGTCCAACATCTTCGGCATGGCCGGCCTCTACGTGCCCTTCGTGTACATCGTGGACGCCGCCATGATGAACGTGAGTCTTGTCTATGGTAGCTGTGAGGCTGTGATCTATGGTTGCTGACGTGAGTCTACTTTGAAACCCGGCGTTCATGCTCATAGGCGTGACGGCCTCTACGTGCCCTTCGTGTACATCGTGGACGCCGCCATGATGAACGTGAGTCTTGTCTATGGTAGCTGTGAGGCTGTGATCTATGGTTGCTGACGTGAGTCTACTTTGAAACCCGGCGTTCATGCTCATCGTGTGTCCAACATCTTCGGCATGGCCGGCCTCTACGTGCCTTTCGTGTACATCGNCCAAATCCGTTCCAGTCCAGAAGCTTGAAGACATCTTCCAGGGCGGTACCTACACGTAGGTTATAATTAGTTTTTACTTTTACCGAAAATTTCCCCAAAAACGTCGCGGGCTAATGCTAGTGTTTTTTTATAAGCGCTATCGCTACACGTGGCCATACTATCAATATTACTATCTAGTCCTATTTCCAGGAATTATGCAGGCTTAAAGTGTCCCTCATCATAATAACTGCTACTAGACATAAGAAAGAATAAACTTCTGAAATAAATAAGGCTGACAAAGTGCCTCTTCATCCTATTAATATTATAAATGCGAAAGTTTTTATGTCTGGATGGATGTTTTTTACTCTTTCACGCTAAAACTACTGAACGGATTTTGATGAAACTTTACAGTATTATTCTTTAAAAACTAATTGGCATATACCTATTGTCCCGAAGCGGTAGAGGCAATACCTATTATACTACTAAAGAATTTGATAAATGAAAATTACAATCGTCTGCATTCGACCACAATCTTACCTTTTCATCTGCCATTTCCAGGGGGACACAGAAAGCATGATGTACCAGTCCAAACTGTCAGTGTCTGGCCCACGGGAGCCGTCCCGCATGGTGCGTCCCATGTCCCGCAAAGACATCTTCTACTCGGGCTCCGTGCTCAACCTGCCTCAGTACCAAAGCCAGAAGTCCTTACAAGGGTACAGGAACTCGGTGCTGAGTCTGCCTCAAAGCAGACAGACTGGCGACCTGGAGAGAGCGGAACGTAAGTACATATGATAAGCTATAGGTTTTAACTAATTGTACAAAATAACTCTTATTTTTACAGAGAGAGCACTGGCATCCACACACGTTTAATATTGACTTCGGTTAAACATACCTACTGCTAGTTGGACTAAGTTTGAGATTTTAAATAATATTCAGTATTGTATCTGTTTCAACCTAATGCCAACCCCTGCTAGACAAAGCATCTCCCAAGAATTTGCTCAACGATGGGTCCGGTGTTGCTCTTATCTAGGCGCTTTCCACGATCTTCATTGTGGGAGGCCTTAAATTATGCCCCACCCACTGCCACTTAAATCAAATCAAATCAAATCATTTATTTTGCGAAAATGGGTTTACATCAGTAGGTGTTACAATTTTTCAAGTAGGTATCTCCATTTTCCACCTTTAGGCATGCAAAATTATTACTGTAATTGTCATTTACATTCATTAACAAAATATAATTCACATTTATAAAAACTAATGTCAGAAAACTCAGGTTAAGTTAAGGTTTAGGTTAAGTTTGGCAATTCTGTGGACTATCGTCATCACAGGTCATTTAGTTTCCACTGCAGGAGCACAATCGTTCTTAGTTTATCAGAGACAAATAGAACATTGGCCTACATTCCCCACACTGGCCAAACGGGCTACTTATGTACGGGCTACTTATATAATATTTGTGTATTTATTTCTTGTTTTTTGTGGTGTTCTATCTATCTATATCCATAACTACAATTTTCTCACATAATACTCTTTATGTTTCAGAATACGACCTCTGCCCGTGCCTCGCTCTGCCCAGCTCGTTCAAATCCGCTCTGTCTTCCATGTTGGACGTAAGCCTGCTTCGAGACCCAGCGTTCATGCTCATCGGCGTGTCCAACATCTTCGGCATGGCCGGCCTCTACGTGCCTTTCGTGTACATTGTCGACGCCGCCATGATGAACGTGAGTCTTGTCTATGGTAGCTGTGAGGCTGTGGTCTATGGTTGCTGACGTAAGTCTACTCCGCGACCCAGCGTTCATGCTCATCGGCGTGTCCAACATCTTCGGCATGGCCGGCCTCTACGTGCCTTTCGTGTACATTGTCGACGCCGCCATGATGAACGTGAGTCTTGTCTATGGTAGCTGTGAGGCTGTGGTCTATGGTTGCTGACGTAAGTCTACTCCGCGACCCAGCGTTCATGCTCATCGGCGTGTCCAACATCTTCGGCATGGCCGGCCTCTACGTGCCTTTCGTGTACATTGTCGACGCCGCCATGATGAACGTGAGTCTTGTCTATGGTAGCTGTGAGGCTGTGGTCTATGGTTGCTGACGTAAGTCTACTCCGCGACCCAGCGTTCATGCTCATCGGCGTGTCCAACATCTTCGGCATGGCCGGCCTCTACGTGCCTTTCGTGTACATTGTCGACGCCGCCATGATGAACGTGAGTCTTGTCTATGGTAGCTGTGAGGCTGTGGTCTATGGTTGCTGACGTAAGTCTACTCCGCGACCCAGCGTTCATGCTCATCGGCGTGTCCAACATCTTCGGCATGGCCGGCCTCTACGTGCCTTTCGTGTACATTGTCGACGCCGCCATGATGAACGTGAGTCTTGTCTATGGTAGCTGTGAGGCTGTGGTCTATGGTTGCTGACGTAAGTCTACTCCGCGACCCAGCGTTCATTCTCATCGGCGTGTCCAACATCTTCGGCATGGCCGGCCTCTACGTGCCTTTCGTGTACATTGTCGACGCCGCCATGATGAACGTGAGTCTTGTCTATGGTAGCTGTGAGGCTGTGGTCTATGGTTGCTGACGTAAGTCTACTCCGCGACCCAGCGTTCATTCTCATCGGCGTGTCCAACATCTTCGGCATGGCCGGCCTCTACGTGCCTTTCGTGTACATTGTCGACGCCGCCATGATGAACGTGAGTCTTGTCTATGATAGCTGTGAGGCTGTGATCTATGGTTGCTGACGTGAGTCTACCTCGAGACCCGGCGTTCATGCTCATAGGCGTGTCCAACATCTTCGGCATGGCCGGCCTCTACGTGCCTTTCGTGTACATTGTCGACGCCGCCATGATGAACGTGAGTCTTGTCTATGATAGCTGTGAGGCTGTGATCTATGGTTGCTGACGTGAGTCTACCTCGAGACCCGGCGTTCATGCTCATAGGCGTGTCCAACATCTTCGGCATGGCCGGCCTCTACGTGCCTTTCGTGTACATTGTCGACGCCGCCATGATGAACGTGAGTCTTGTCTATGATAGCTGTGAGGCTGTGATCTATGGTTGCTGACGTGAGTCTACCTCGAGACCCGGCGTTCATGCTCATAGGCGTGTCCAACATCTTCGGCATGGCCGGCCTCTACGTGCCTTTCGTGTACATTGTCGACGCCGCCATGATGAACGTGAGTCTTGTCTATGATAGCTGTGAGGCTGTGATCTATGGTTGCTGACGTGAGTCTACCTCGAGACCCGGCGTTCATGCTCATAGGCGTGTCCAACATCTTCGGCATGGCCGGCCTCTACGTGCCTTTCGTGTACATTGTCGACGCCGCCATGATGAACGTGAGTCTTGTCTATGATAGCTGTGAGGCTGTGATCTATGGTTGCTGACGTGAGTCTACCTCGAGACCCGGCGTTCATGCTCATAGGCGTGTCCAACATCTTCGGCATGGCCGGCCTCTACGTGCCTTTCGTGTACATTGTCGACGCCGCCATGATGAACGTGAGTCTTGTCTATGATAGCTGTGAGGCTGTGATCTATGGTTGCTGACGTGAGTCTACCTCGAGACCCGGCGTTCATGCTCATAGGCGTGTCCAACATCTTCGGCATGGCCGGCCTCTACGTGCCCTTCGTGTACATTGTCGACGCCGCCATGATGAACGTGAGTCTTGTCTATGGTAGCTGTAAGGCTGTGGTTTATGGTTGCTGACGAGTCTACTTCACATCGTCGACGCCGCCATGATGAACGTGAGTGTTGTCTATGGTAGCTGTGAGGCTGTGATCTATGGTTGCTGATGTGAGTCTACTCCGAGACCCGGCGTCCATGCTCATAGGCGTGACGGCCTCTACGTGCCTTTCGTGTACATCGTGGACGCCGCCATGATGAACGTGAGTCTTGTCTATGGTGGCTGTTGCGCCACGGAAACCATAGATCACAGCCTCATCTATGGTTTTAAGTTCCAAATATGTTTTGAGACCTATAAATAACACTGCACAACAAAATTGCAACTTTTGGCTGATGATTGACTTTCATTACATGATGTTTACTAATTTGACGTCGCTGATTCTGAATCTGCCGTCCATTTTTTCGTAGCAGCTCTTGTTTACGTGTTATAGCTTTCACTCAAAAATTGCTAAATTTCAGTCTTAATTCGCCGACAGTTCAAAAAATACTATGTTTTCTTTGTATAATTTAATATGGTAGCATTAAGAAGTGTTTGTGTGAATGATCTAAATCAATTTTGTTTCATTTGCGGAGAGGATATGTTTAAATAATCCGTTTAAATGTGACAAAGTTCGTAAAATTGGCTTACAAAAATTAGTTTGGGGACCTAGTGGAAATGAAAGATAAGCCTTGAATTCCGCAAAAGGCGTGGAAAAGATGCGTTGAGTTTTTACGTTTATAAACAAATAAAAATATGTGTAGATTTAGGTACGAAACCGCTATGATTTGAAAGGAACCCTTGAATCATCGCGACGACTGTTATTTTTATTTTTGAACAAAAATGGTATTAACCAAAAAATATTGAACTAAATGGTAATTCCTTGCATACGTTTGGCATGTAGATGTCTTTTCAACCCTAAGAAGTCACCTGAACCTCATGTTGATACTTCAGATGAGGATTTTGAGGCGAAAACTGTCAGTGTGGTAGAGACTTTGTATGTGACCCGAAATTTTCAAAACCATGTAGCCAAGATGGTTTAAAAGATCGTTTTCGAGATTTAGGATCTTCAAATCTTCCGAAAAGACATGGAATGAGTTATTTTGGCATTTTAATTTTTTTTTTGGAAAATCCGAAAAAATCTTACTATTCTTACACATCGAACAACGTATGAGTCACTTACAAACATGTTTTTTTGGTTGGATGTAATATAAACATCGAATTACACTCTCTTCGCAATCACCTGAACAATTTTATCACAACTCTTAAGGATCTAAGTGAAGAACATGGCGAGCAAATCCACCAGGGCCTTCGTACGATAGGGGGACGCTATCAGGGCCACTGGAATGCACACATGATGGCTGACTGCTGTTGAATCATTCAGAAGAGCTGTCTGCCTTCAGCATCAGCAAGGAAGTCAAATAAAAGAAAGTTTTTTCAACTTAACAACTTCATAAAATAGGATCATCTCTAAAAAAAGAGTGTTTTTTTTACAAAAAGACCCAAGTGTCATATTTTTTTAACCAGAGCTGATACAGATATTTCAATCACAGATTTGAAATCGTCATTAAAAATTGGACTAATATCATGTAACATAACCCAATCATCAGAAATGCTGTTGTGCAGTGTAAGCAATACAGAAAGAGAGACGCTAGCGTTAATCTATTAGCTATAGCTGTCGAGCTAACGTAAGTTTATCTATGGACGTATCGTGAATTGTACTGTTAATTTCACCGTTGTCTGTGGCTTGTTTGTGTTAGAAATACTACACACTTATAGGTTTTCTATTAAAGATTTATCGAGCTATTTATCAAAAATTTTATTCAGTCTGTTCACTACAACATAAAACCAATGTTGTTTTGTTTCTAGAGAACTATTCAATCTGCTACATTCAATATCATATCTATTGGCAAAGAAGTAACTTATTCTTTGAACAAACATTCACAATATCAGCGTTATCAAGCCACGTATTATCTTATTCCCAGGGGGTGGAGGCGGGCAAAGCGTCGTTCCTGCTGTCGATCATCGGCATCACGAACACGATCGGGCGTATCGCGTGCGGCTGGGTGGCCGATTTCCCCTGGATGGATTCGCTACTGCTCAACAACCTGTGCCTCGTCATCGCCACGGTAACTTCTCTTCCATATTCAAATTCAAATTCAAAACGTTTATTTGCCAAAAACAAAGTAATACAGGGTGACAATATTAAATAGGATCATGTGTTTAGTCTGCTCGCAGACGTGCAAAAATTACAGGATTCAATAGTATTAATGTCAAATAATTAAGAAAATGTCAATGTAAAATTAAATTAATAGTATCAATGTCGCCAATTAAAATATTCCTTATAACTATAAAAACATTTGTCCAAAAGCCAGCAAGTCAATCTGCTTTTAAATATAGGGCCTTGGAGTACTTTAAGTTCTTCCGGTAGTAGGTTATACATAACTATACTCGTGTTATATGCATTTCTTTTATAAATATCCTTGCGACAGGGATTGAATACTCTATCTATATCTACCGAATTACTACCTTACTTACCTACTTAACGGGACTATTCCCACTTCTCGTTCCCACCACTGCAACTCCTGTGTAGCCAGGATCTACAGCTTGACCGCCACAAAAACCCAACCAATTAAGGTCAAGTTTGTCCCGGGGGAAAGTTAAACTGTCATTGGACCCACAACGAAGTTAATCAGAAGAACATAGGAGGAGTTCGAAATTAAGGTTCGACTTCCCTCCATTGCAAAGCGGATGACAGGTGACAAAAAAAGATTTAAAACCTTTAAGAAAAGATTATGCACCACGGACAATAAATAACAATTAAGGGGGCCTATCTTATGAGCAATTAGCAACTACCTGCCACATTGACCATACTTACTTACTGTGCGAACGCGACGCGCTAGCTAGAACTAGGATGGGTCTCCTGAGGTCTGCTTACCCGGCACCAGAAGATTATAGGTCCCTCTCATCCAAGCACTTGATTCACTATATGGCTAGTATTTTTGCGGATGAGGGGGAATAAAGGTAAAGGGAAGCATAAAAGATCCCAATGGGTCGACGTGAACTGCGCTCATGCGCAGCCCTAAATAAGATAAGATAACTTCCCTATAATTCGTTTTAAGCCTTAACCTAGTGGTGACAGAATTGATTCCACCCTATTTTAAAATTTAAAGAATATTTTTCTTTATACCAGTTAAAAATTAACCAAAAGACGTCCATTGGTGGCCAAAGATTTCCCAAAGATTTTCACACTGACCGGTCCTGCGCTATCCGAATCTAGGTGCTTCCCGCGACCTTCGCCACCGAGTGATTGTCCTCGAGATTTTTTTGTTACTTATCTTTTTTCATTAATTTCTGAATAGAAATCCTCTTCTCTTCCACCCGTTTATAATGAGAAATAATATATTTCAGGTATCAGTGGCGGCGACACCTTTCTGCTACTCATACGCTGCTTACGTCGCGGTGGCCATTGCCTTTGGAATTGCTATCTGTGAGTATTTTTACTATAACTTTTTGAAAGTACTCGCTCCAATGAAGTGATCAAGTCAATTATTTATTTATTTATTGCCTTTTATAGTCATGTACTTATTACTAATAAATAAACTATTCTTTCCAGCCGGCTACATCTCTCTCACCTCCATCATCCTAGTAGACCTGCTAGGGCTGGACAAGCTCACCAACGCGTTCGGGCTTCTCATCCTGTTCAGAGGCGCCGCTGCTATCGTCGGCTCACCCCTGGCCGGTGCTGTATATGACGCAACCAAGAACTATGACGCGTCGTTCTACATGGCGGCTGCGTTCTTCCTGGCGTCAACGCTGACGTCATTCGCGGCGCCTACTTTCCGCAGGTAGGTCCTGGCTTGCATTATCAAGCCTCTGAATAGTAATAAGTGTTTAGGGGCGCGGCCGCTATTCTGGGTTCGCCGCTGGCCGGTGCTGTATATGACGCAACCAAGAACTATGACGCGTCGTTCTACATGGCGGCTGCGTTCTTCCTGGCGTCAACGCTGACGTCATTCGCGGCGCCTACTTTCCGCAGGTAAATATTTAAGTACAATTTGGGATAGGAAATGACTTTAAACTGGAGATCTAGAGACTTGTGAGATTACATTATAGTTAATTTATTGTCCACTGAGGTTTTTCCGTTATCACGTTACTTCGTGGGGTGTCACGCACGCATACGCTGTTCTTTCCACGGAGATTAAGTGCGACAATACGTTTGTATAAGATTGACAGACAGATTGAGTCTGCTTGTGACCACACTGCAGCATAGCAGCCGTGGTCAAGCCGTGAGTACTTAATGTAACTCATTAATAAACGTCGCGTTAAGGGGGTGCAGCGCGGACGAAAATCTACGATTTGATAGCCGAGCTAGCGGTGGCGCAACGAACTAACGCGATCACATACAAACTGATTTACAGAGTAGAGACTCACCACAGAGTAAAACACCTATTTCACTAATCATGCTAAGCAAAAAGTGAGTTTGGTTAGATATTTTAATTATGTAAAAGGAAGGATTTGATTTTTTGTTGGTACCTATTGCTGCGAAAATTCTTACACAATAATCCTAATTAGTATATTGATTCTTCTGATAAGCAAAGGCGTTAAAAAGTTTCGCATTAGAGTACAGTATTTTTCCTAGACGTTCAATGCAAATAGGCTGTTAACGTAGCTTCTTTCCATTCTATACATGGTCAGAACGCCAGCTAATCCTACTAATATTATAAATGCGAAAGTTTGGATGTCATGATGTCTGGATGTTTGGATGTCTGGATGTTTGGATGTCTGGATGTTTGTTACTCTTTCACGCAAAAACTACTGAACGGATTTTGTTGAAACTTTACAGTATTACTGTTTATAACCCAGATCAACATATAGGCTATAGTTTATGACGATCTGTGACATACTAAATTTCACGCGGGTGAAACCGCGGGCAAAAGCTAGTCGAGTATAATTTGGAAATAACTGTTTTTACTAAAGTCTTCTAAATTAAACTAATGTATGCATTTTTTTCTAGAAAACAAGAAGCAGTCCAACAGCCCATGGACGTTCTCACCCCCATAGACGAGGATCTCGAAGAAGGCGACGAAGAGGATCCTGACGACACGCCCATAACCATGGGAGCGCTGGCCAGCCGTCCACCCGCCATCGTGCGCACCGCCGCCTCGCCCTCCGACCCGCCCTCGCCCAGCCCGCCCGAGGAGCGCGCGCAGCGGGAGAGTGTGCTCTAACATAATAGGTATAAGACTCAAAATAAATCGTTCTAATTACCACCTATAAGATCCAAAGTCGAACGTGCGCCTGGCCGAGGTATATGCGCGGGAGAGTGTGCTGTAACGCGATAGCTGTAAGACTCAAAATTGCACGCGCGCCTAGCTCAACTGAGGTGCGCGTACGGCGGGTTACTGTGCTACATAAGACTCAAAATTGAACGTCTAAGAAGGCGGGAGTGTGCTCTAATACAATACCTGTAAGGCTCAAAGTTGAGCGTCTCGCTCGCTCGTCATCGTACGCACCGCCGCCTCGCCCAGCCCGCCCGAGGAGCGCGCGCAGAGGGAGAGTGTGCTCTAACACAATAGGTATAAGACTCAAAATAAATCGTTCTAATTAACACCTATAAGATTCATAGTCGAATGTCGAACGGGTGCCTGGCATATCGGAGGTGCTGGGTGAAGGAGTGTGCTCTAATGTAACAGCTATAAGACTCAAAGTTGATCGCATAGTCCGCCCGCCATCGTGCGCACCGCCGCCTCGCCCAGCCCGCCCGAGGAGCGCGCGCAGAGGGAGAGCGTGCTCTAACGACATAGGTATAAGACTCAAAATAGATCAACACATATAAGATCCAAAATCGAACGTTTATCTAGTAGGAGTGTGCTCTAATGACGTAGCTGTAAGACTCAAAATTGCATGCGCGCCTAGCTCAACTGAGGTGCGCGTACGGCGGGTTACTGTGCTACATAAGACTTAAAATTGAACATGCGTCTAGCTTGTCCGTGGTTCATACGCAGTGGGAGAGTGTTCTCTAATACAATACCTGTAAGGCTCAAAGTTGAGCGTCTCGCTCGCTCGCTCGTCATCGTGCGCACCGCCGCCTCGCCCAGCCCGCCCGAGGAGCGCGCGCAGAGGGAGAGTGTGCTCTAACATAATAGGTATAAGACTCAAATTAGATCAACACCTATAAGATCCAAAATCGAACGTGAACTTGCAAACGCCGTGGGAGCGTGTGCTCTAATGACATAGCTGTAAGACTCAAAATTGCATGTGCGCGTACGGCGGGTTACTAGCACAGTAACCCGCCGTACGCGTATATGTAGCAACATAAGACTCAAAATTGAACGTGCGTCTGGCGTGCCTAAGGTCGTAGGCGGGAGTGTTCTCTAATACAATACCTGTAAGGCTCAAAGTTGAGCGTCTCGCTCGCTCGCCATCGTGCGCACCGCCGCCTCGCCCTCCGACCCGCCCTCGCCCAGCCCGCCCGAGGAGCGCGCGCAGAGGGAGAGTGTGCTCTAACATAATAGGTATAAGACTCAAAATAGCCCGCCATAGTGATCAAGTGCAGCGGGGGGTGTGCTTTAATGACATAGCTGTAAGACTCAAAATTGCATGCGCGCCTAGCTCAACTGAGGTGCGCGTACGGCGGGTTACTGTGCTACATAAGACTCAAAATTGAACATGCGTCTGGCGCGCCTAAGGTCGTAGGCGGGGGGAGTGTTCTCTAATACAATACCTGTAAGGCTCAAAGTTGAGCGTCTCGCCCGCCCGCCATCGTGCGCACCGCCGCCTCGCCCTCCGACCCGCCCTCGCCCAGCCCGCCCGAGGAGCGCGCGCAGAGGGAGAGTGTGCTCTAACGTCATACGTATAAGACTCAAAATAAATCGTTCTAATTACCACCTATAATATCCAAAGTCGAACGGGCGAGGTATATGCGCGGGAGAGTGTGCTCTAACGCGATAGCTGAAAGACTCAAAATTGCATGCGCGCCTAGCTCAACTGAGGTGCGCGTACGGCGGGCTACTGTGCTACATAAGACTCAAAATTGAACATACGCCTGGCGCGGCGCGCCTGCGGTCCTAGGCGGGAGTGTTCTCTAATACAATACCTGTAAGGCTCAAAGTTGAGCGTCTCGCTCGCTCGTCATCGTACGCACCGCCGCCTCGCCCTCCGACCAGCCCTCGCCCAGCCCGCCCGAGGAGCGCGCGCAGAGGGAGAGTGTGCTCTAACGTCATACGTATAAGACTCAAAACCAAACGAGGTGTAAGTGAAGTAAGTGTGCTCTAATACAACATCTATAAGATCCTAAGTTAAACGTGCGTCCAGCCCGTCGGAGGAGAGTGTGTTCTAACGCGATAGCTATAAGACTCAAAATAGATCAACACTTATAAGATCCTTAGTCGAACGTGTACCTAGTTCGCCCGTGGTGCAAACGCAGTGGGAGAGTGTGCTCTAACACAATAGCTGTAGGACTCAATGTTGCATGTGCGCCTAGCTCAACTAAGGTGCGCGTACGGCGGGTTACTGTGCTACATAAGACTCAAAATTGAACGTGCGTCTAAGGAGCGGGGCAGAAGTGTGCTCTAATGTAACAGCTATAAGACTCAAAGTTGATCGCTTAGTCCGCCCGCCATCGTGCGCACCGCCGCCTCGCCCTCCGACCCGCCCTCGCCCAGCCCGCCCGAGGAGCGCGCGCAGAGGGAGAGTGTGCTCTAACACAATAGGTATAAGACTCAAATTAGATCAACACCTATAAAATCCAAAATCGAACGTGTACCTACTTGCAAACGCAGTGGGAGAGTGTGCTCTAATGACATAGCTGTAAGACTCAAAATTGCATGTGCGCATTGTGCCTCAGTTGAGCTAGGCGCACAATGCGCACATGCAATGAGTCTAGCGTACGGCGGGTTACTGTGCTGCATAAGAATCAAAATTGAACGTGCGTCTAAGGAGCGGGGCAGGAGTGTGCTCTAATGTAACAGCTATAAGACTCAAAATTGAGCACCTAAACCGTCCGAGTTGCGCATAAGACTTAAAATTACGGTGCGGGACGGTAGTGTGCTCTAGTGCAATACCTGTAAGAATCAACGTTGAACGGCTAGCTCGCCCGCCATCGTCCGTATCTTCGCCTTGCCTTCCTGTAAGACTCAAATTTGAGCACCTACACCGTCCAAGGTGCTGGGCGGGAAACTGTAACAGCTATAAGACCCAAAAAAGAACGTGCGTACCCTATGTGCTCTAAGACATCAGTTATAAGACTAATATAATACTTGAACAAGGGCTTGACTCGCCCAAGGTGCGTAAACACAGTGTTTTATAGGGAAAGTAATAAGATTCAAAGTTGAATGCGCGTCTATCCCCCCCGAATGCGGCGGAAGAGTGCTCTAAATGCTCTAATGCTTCTCCGATAAGACTCAAAGTTGTAGGTATTGTCCGTTGTGAGAAATTGAAAGCACACTGAAGTATCATGGAGTAAGTTTGATAATGCCCCAATATAAGATTAGTAAAAGTAATCGAGTTTTTAAATATCAAAAAGGCAACGTTATTATTAATTTCCTTCTAATAACAATTTCTTGTGTTTTCAATTTCTCTCAACCGAGGGCAAATAACAATAGAGCCTCGTTCGCTCACTGCAGTCTCAAAAGTGCAAAAATGTGCTCTAATTAAATAAGTAGGAAATATAAAACCAATCACATACATAAATATGTAGGACTTAAAACAGAAAACAGATAATCAAAATATCATGCCTTATTAATATAGCCAGTTTTTATAACAATATTTATTGACATGCAGTTAAAGACAGGTTGGTCATAACTTAAATTGAATCGTCCACACTCATAAATAAAATAAAATAAATAAGATAAAATGCAAAAAAATATAAAACCGGACATTACTGTTGCGCTAATAATAATATAGTAATACAGTTAGTCGGGATAGTGATCTACGTTGACTATTTACTTTATGTCCAACCTACTTTTTATAATCTGTACGTGTAATAAGTTATGTCAGAATCAGCTTTGTTAAAATAGGTAATTATACATTCAAAAAACTTCAAGGCTTCTTTACAAAATGTCATCATGTTTTAATTAAATTAACTTTATACGATCTCATTACTAGAGACATGGTTTAAAGGCATCTTGAAGTTGATAACTTGGCTTTATATTATTAGTTCTCATATTGTATGCCGAAATTTTCATTGTCAATAAACTTGTAATGTCGTACAAGTGAGCATATAATATAAAGTATCCAAGTAGAAATAGGGACATAGTCACATACATAAACCGCTAATAAATAAGAAATAGTTATTTTACGATAAATATGTAATGATGATAAATACTAAAATGATAATTATTTAATACTACGAGTGTAATGTACATTACTTAAGAGTTACCAAGGTATGTAGCACCGGTTTGAAATACCTCATGAGAGAATAAAATGTATGTAATAATGACGTGGAATTGACTGCGAGCAATAAGACAATTTGTAGTAGCATTGCATTTTATACTAAGATGGTTTTAATTCCAACGTGCCATAATAGTTATCGTGGTGCTAGCGTCAATATAAACTGTGTAACACGTGAGAAGCGAAAACTGCGATATAATAACATCAATTTTATTCGATAGGAAACAATACACACTACTGAGATATTTAGCAGTCCAACATAGCAATAATAGTAGTACTTATAGGCTATAAGTACTTAGAAAGATTAAAAACTTAATTAGATTTATAAATTTCTCTCTTTCTCTCCAACTTCTAACTCGCATATCAGAATACACGAAAAATCTAAGCATCTATTTCTTTTAAATGACAATAAGGAACCTCTATTGCCTTTATTTTTATTAAATGTATTGATTTTGTAAATGACACGGTATAAATAAAAATGTTGGCGTAAATGCTGCTACTAATATTGTAAATAAATAACATTTAAAATACAAAAAGAACTGCACTTACAAACTTATAATGTAAATACACTATTTAGGTAGGGACTCTTCAAATTCTCACGTATATTGTAAACTCTAAAATCTTCCTTGCTAGAGAATAATTAAAAAACAGGACGAGTTCATTTTTTTTGTTAAATTCTAATAATTTTCTTCTAAACTTGACTACGATACTGTCGTTTTAACTGGTTTTAACCTGTCCATTCAAAGTTTCTAGGCTCAAATATGCCAAAGATAGTCAAATAAAAGAGCTTTTTCATTTTGAGACAAACATAAAATTTGGCCCACATTGTCCATTACGGGATATCCAAATGCGATAACGTAGCAAACAAAATTAGGTACTTGGATACGGTCATTTTTGTGACGATTTTAAGAAAATTGCAGTCAAAGACAATGTAGAGTACTTACATTGTCTTTGGCGTAGACTAGAGATATCTGCCTTTTCGATCTTGCTAAGCTACTTTACCTTTTTCGAGCTTGGCTTTTATAGGTAGCTTCTTGGGAGGTATTTTATTGACTAGAATCGTCATTGTTCTTATTGTATTTAAATATTAATTCAAGTATTGTAGAGATTTTTGTCTCGAAAAAATGGTAGGGCTTACTCGTATATGTAATGAGAACAGTGACGAACACTTTTTTACCGTCTCTGAACTTTGTCTTTTGTGTGCCATCGCAATGAACAACGTATTCCTGTTAAATAAGTGAACTAATTGTAAGTGATTAGAACTAGCTGAATAGTGAACGCAACGCAGTCAATTTTCTGTGCATCATTATTTAATACCAAATACCTACGTTTCATTGATAGTTAACGTCAAACTGTAGGGTCTATTGATATAACTTTGTTATTACACAATTTTGTTTCAGCAGTAGAACTCTTAAACCCAGTACCTTAGAGTACGTTATAAAATAAACAAGAGTTCTAAGTGTGAAACAAATTAGTGTTGTATCTATTATCGACATAATTATATACTTGCCAGTCGAGTAGATGTAAATAAAATAAGAGTGTTAAGTAGATACATGATATATTTTTGTCATAGATATTTTTTTGTCAATAAAAGCATAATTTAGCTTTAAGCGTAATTATAATGTATGTATAGAACGTCAGGTGTGAAATGTTTAGGTATAGACAAAAGGTATTATGTGATAAATACGAGAAACTTGAAACAGATGTGCTTATAAGACCTGTATTTTAATAATGATTTAGTACCATACCAACTGTGGAGCATTATGTATAAAGTTTGTTTGTAAGGTTTAGAAGAAACTGGTATAAAACTGTACGATAATGTTTTAAGGAATAATCAAAAAGTTATCGATGAATGTTACTGTTGTTATAGCTTTATGTAAACCAAAAGTGTTATTATGTTTCTAAGATTTAAAAATATTTACAAGTCAAGGAATGAAGGTTTAAACTAAAATTATTGTATTCTCATTATGAAACGTATAACAATTTTAATTGAAGGAGAGAGTTACGTTGTTTTAATACATAATACTGTTTTAGTATTCAAAGAGATGTGATGATGTTGAAACCGTGTATGCTATTATTATTATTATTTTTGTAATAACATTTATTATTTCTTGGTCTATCAAGTAATGAACTATTGTTTTTAATATCGGGACATTATTATTCTGATTATGTATTTTATTCAGTATTGGCTCTAAGTATTTTTTACTTTTTAAAGTAAGCTGTTTGCACATTTTTATTCATAGAAGAATTCTTGTAAATTATTTTATAAAGCTTCTTTCATTTTGTAGGATTTTTAGCAGAAGCGCTATACTCATAAATTATTAATTGGTTATTCGCTTTACGAAATCTGTTATTTTAAAGTTGTGTACTTAAAAGTATGTACAGCTAAATGTCTGAATGGACATGAAAAAAATCAAAGTGATAACGATGGCTTTGTTTATAATTTGTAAAATAATATTGTTTTGATATAATAATGTTTTTGACGTGTATGTGTTATGTGTAAGCAGCTTCGGCCCGTCGCCGCTTGCGCCGCCACGCGCTTTGTTGATAATGTCCACCGAAAACTTTTGTAAATAACAGATTCATTAAATGATAATGATGACTGATTAATCGTTTCATTTTTACAATTGACCCCAAATTATTGCAGATGAATTTATTACTTCAAGGCATTGTTTGTTATCAAACTAGGCAAGTTATAAACAAGATCAAGATCGTATACGAAATCATTTAAAAGCAAAAAGAATAAAAAAATTAAAAAAATCTAGTTATCTTTAAAAAAAATGACTTTTGTAAAATATTGCAGAAGATTTGACATTTTTGAGGATGAGTACAAGAAAGCAATAACAAAGTGTTTCTTATTTTAACAAGTAGGTCATTGATTCTAAATAATTCATGCCCCTCAAGTTAACAAGCCAGGTTGTAACACCTTGTCAACCAAAGAGCGGCAGATGAGCAAAATTTTCCTAAAGAACCCAAGGGCCCGTAATAGCCCTATTAGCATAAACACATTCCCTTTTGTATGTAGATCAATGACTGCAATAACATTAAACAACCTCGTATACCTACTTGTTTACATAATGCCATATCTAGAATTTATGTCATGAGGCTGCGGCGCCAGTGAAGTATTGTAAACAGTTCGCTTGACCGGTCAATGCAAATAAAATGTGCCGAACAAACCAATTGTGAAGATTGATTTGCCATTAATCATACAGAATATGAAAGGAAAAGTAGCTGAATGACATTTTAATAAGTAGGTAAAAAGTTTCATATTGGATCGTCGGCAACCAACTTATTCATAAGTAGTTACATAGGTACTTAAAGTATTATGAGCTCTACTTATTATTTATGCAGTGTTAGTTGGTGTTAGTACGACAACGTCGTTCGAAAATAACTTTAGTACAAGAACTCCGTAAAAGTAAAAGAGTTGTGTCAAAACATTGTGTTTCCTGTGTCCCAAAATGGCAATAACAAAATATTAAGCGTAAAGTACCACGCTTAATATGTATTTGTTAGAAGAAGAGTTGGTTGGTACATTACCAAAAACCTAACTTAATTTTGAGATACGATTTATTTCAGGCAGTGAAAACCGTAATCTAAACTCTCACAAACACGTGACAAAGAACAGGCGTGACAATGAGGACTTAATGCTTCAATATCAAATAGATGGCCACACAAAGGTTGACCGGAGCTATTACGTTCAATTGTTTTTATTGAATAGCAAAACGCGGCGTACAGTCGACAGAATATCACACAAACTGCGGTGTCTTATGTAGTCTTAATTGGAGCGAATTTGCAGCAAATGTCTGATGTTCTGGTGACTGTACATGGTTATACGCACTTAAAGCTTCGCGTCGAAAGTGTACGCAAATCGTGCGTCATTCCTCGAGGCCAATGTCTCGCGTATCTCTTAAAATTTAAGCCTGTCGCGCATTGCACGCATTCGTATTTTTTATGCCATTTGTGATTGAGTTTAGTTGAGTCAAGGTTGTTTTGAACAGTTCATTCTATTCAATTATTACTTATAAAGTTATTTTAATTTATGAGGGGTTAATGATAGGAACTCCCTCCCTGATATTGGGCAATACTCATACTCGTTTAACTATCAATGTTGGCGCGTCATTTTCGTTATCCAATGCATGGTCACTTTCTGTTAATTGTTGATTTAACGGTGATAAAAACAAACGAAACAGTTAAGTTTAAACGGTGTTAGATTTAATTACCAATTATTGTTGCGTTAGTGATAAGGATTAGTATGGCAAACTTAATAAGTTTTTTTTATATTTAGAACTTAAGAAAATCTGCTGGCTGATTGTGAAACTGTAATATAAATGTACTAAGCTGATTATGTCTAAAATAATATCAGTTGGTTTTAGCATTGCTTTTTGGCTCTATATTACGAATATGAATCACATAGGATTATTTTATAATAAGTTTCTACCTACCCATACCAATAATGTGTTCTTAAATTAATGAACTGTACTTCGTACTGAAATTCCCAAAACAATAAATCAGCTCTACAATTTTCCTCAAATATGTTTAGAACTCGTAGATATAAACTGGATTCAAGCAGTCTGCAAGGAAAATTAGAATTTAATAAGTATGTAGGCAGGCACCTAGTCCTTTTTTAAAAAAAAATTAAGAGTTTATTAGGCTTTCTACAACTTCCATTTTCGTTTCTATAAAAACTTTGGATATAAACTTAACGATGCGTTCATGAATACGAGCGCTAGATCGATTATGATTGAACTTGTCGCGTCGTTCCAATTGACCTCTATTGTTTCAGTTGCTGTAACAGGTCGCTGAATTACATCAGTAGTTCAGGCTTTCAATAATCGCCATTCAATTACTGAACTCTTTCCGTGTGACCTTCTGGTTTCGGTTCAATCGTGGTAACTGATATTTTCCTGGAACAATCTATTTTGCGACCGCAGTTCCTGTTATTCAGGCGACAATAGCCGTAATACCTATTTACCTAACCATGTAGGTACTTAATTTGACCAATACTGTGGTCTACTACGAACATTTGTCGATGCATTCAGTTATATTATTGTATCTGGCGTTCATACCTTTACCGCAACTTATGGTGGTTGATGACTAGCTTTTAACGTCGTTTTGTAGAGTCGAAATTTATTTTTAGTTATTTTTTCCTTCTGCGACCTACGCAAACAGGACGTGATAGTTCCTTTACATCTAAACAACTTTTGCTTTCACGTGCTTTTAGGTAATACTAAAAGTCTGTAAAAATCGTGTGCGCACGTTTTTGTCACATGTTTTTTGTTTGTTTTAGTTACATTGTAAATTAGTCAATAAAAACATTGCAGCGTGGAAATAACGATAATAAAACGGTGACCACACTGTCTTCCTTGGAATTAAAATTGAAATTGGAATTCAGCACAGCTCCTCTGTCAATACAACCTTACCAAAATACCAAGAACGTTATGATAGATAACTAAATACAATAGCGATAAAATTTAAAAATCGAAATACACTTCTATGGTATTCCCTACTCGTCATTCGATTCTTCGAACGGACTGGGATCTAGTGATGTTAACCACAACTCCGAGATATCGATAGACAGTCCGCAAGGTTGTTGACCGTCTGGCGCAACAAGCGCACTCGTTACATCAGCCGGCCTTGCCCGACGCGGAACAATGCCGGCGCTGTGCGTGAAAAACTTCTGACTAGAAATACTTTCAGCAGCATTTTCTCTGTAGGTTATTTAAAGTAAAAAGGTGTCTACTAATTTTAAAAAATGTGGTATTAAGTACCTAGTTAAGTAAATAAGTACGGTGTTACGGAGTCTGAAAATAATTCTGAAGAGCAGTTGGTTTTATTAGTAATTTAATATTATTTCATACTGGGAGATGGGTCTACCTTCTGTTACTTACTTATTCTGAGATCTCTTGTTTGAGCAAGCTGTGTAGTGTGTAAGCTCTATGTATTATGGATGTGCGTAAGTGTTCTGAAAAAAGCCTGAAAAACCTAACTTATAATAAAGAATTTGAATTTTAGGATACATTAGAACTTTTTCAATCTCCTAAACATTAAACATATGACATTGATATAGCTATTAGCTATTAATTTACACAATGACCATTTTCACCAATGTCCTTTCTTTTCAGCGTAACTTCATGGTCACCCTAAAAACGTTACGTTCAATGAATGAATATCGACGACACTCATACAAGAACTACCTACGATGTTTCTGAAGAACGATAAGTAATCCAAACATATTTTATCTCAATAAAAACTTTGTTATATGACACACTTTTAAAAAAATTACTTTTATATAGGTACCTAAGTATGTCTAAAGGATTAATCTAATAAAAAATAATCTCTGATCAGTCATAATATTATGTAGGTGAGTGAACTAACTAGGTACGAAATTAGCCGAGATTAGAATCACGTAGGTAAGAACCATTTCATAATAAATGTTATGGATTTTATACAATCACCTTGAACCTAGATAATTAATCCTTTTTATTAACAGTAAGTCCGCTTATCGCTGGGATTTATTATTATTTGTCTGTCATTGGCGAGCTGAGTGACATTCACGGTTCTTACCACATTTTGGTAATCGTTGTGCCTTTTTTATAGGTTCCCGGTACAGTACCTATCTAATTTAATCACCAGGCGTTTTTTGTGCTCGGTTTTAGGTAAGGAAAAACCGGTTGATGTAACTTTAGTGCGAAATTACATTGAAATTGAAGTATAATTTTAAAGCTTCCTTTTTGTTCTTGTGTAGATAAAAAGGTCTTAAGTATAAAGTACATTATTCGTACTTGAAAGAAAATTTTATTTTAATAAAAGGGGCTCCATGTTGAATAAATTGCTAATATCCTTCACTCTGCAAGTCAATTTGATATTCTATCGTGTGGGTTGTAATAACTTACGAGTATGTCACAACCCTGGTGACAGACTTGAGGCGATTGACATGGTTTACCCGATTAAATACAATGTATAACATGTTATGTATTCAATATTCCGAAAATCATATTGATTTATAGCTAGTAATAACAAAGTAGTTAATTGATTTAAAATTATGTAAGTTTACGAAAAATCGCACTACGTACAACCTCATATTAAGATAATGTTTATCCTGATAGGTAGGTAAGCGTCGTTCGTAAAATATACAAATCCCACGTTCTTACGTATTAAATATTTAACTTACTAGTTGAAGTACGAGTAGGTACCTATATGACGAAGAATGTAAACTTTATTTCATGAAAATATGCATTATTTGTAAGTTATGATACCTGATGAAATCTACAAAAGAATTGTCTCACCACGCACGCAATAAAATGCTCATCAAAACAACGAATATAGCACGCTCATAGTCATACATGAATACGTAACTGAACACGAATTCCATAGAGCCGTAACGATGCCGGCACGCCACCCGACGCCTCTGCCAGACGAATGCACTCTACCACGTGCGCGGAGCCTGACTTACGTGACGAAAACACACACGCACTGCCATCCATCGATGACCACTTACTCATTCACCAACACAAATTACTATCCCACATCGTATACGCAAGCAGCAATGTAACTATCCAAGAGAACGATCCAATACAACCGTGCATCTTAACTCTGACGCATGCAT